TTGGCCTGCCTACCGATTGTACAGGATTCACAGCCATATGTTAAAACTGGATGTATGTAGCAAGCAAGAATTCTTTTTCTAACTCTCAATGACAAGGATATATTGCACAAGATGTTTTTCATTTTATAAAATGCAGTTTTTGCCTGTCCTATTCTATTTCTTATCTCAGTAATGTATCTTACATCTGATGTTATCCATGTGCCCAGATACTTAAATTTCTGTACTTGTCCTAAAATAACATACTACATATATTTACTCTCAAGGAGAATGTTACGTCATTGCTTTTTCCAGATTATTTTTAGAAAAAATATAAAGCCGAATGAAAAGTATATTAGCAAGCTTCACAATATAACAAATACAAACCGGATTGCGTGGTGACCGGGTGACGAACTCCTTGTGGTCCGGGTTCACTCCCGGGGGTAGGCAGAAAAGCCGCATTTCTCCCAGATTTACTGTATTTACAATGGAATCAATGTCGAAAGGTTGCGATATCCATAATACCGAGCCTAAGGGTTAACAACTCATGGCTTCTGGATACTAAAACAAACAACAAATACAAACAAAACGTGAACGTTGCGGCTATTGAGCCTTCATCAGCACATACAAATTAAAAAATACTACATAGATACACAAAATCACTTAGCTGGTATCTCATCCAGATTATATTTAATGTTGTGGTTGGTAGATCTGGCTAGCTAGATATTTTCCTTGTCTTGAAACACACGCACACTGACACATTCACACTTCTTCTTCAGCATTCCAATTGCTGTAGGTATCACCCGCCTCCATTATTTCTCCGGTTTTCTCTTCCCAGTTGGTGACACCATGTGTTTGTAGGTCTATCTTGGTATTATCTCTCCATCGCCTTCTTAGTCTGCCTCATGGTCTACGGCCATTCAGCTCCCTTGTGTATACAGTTTTTAACCGCTCTGACATTCTCTCAGTCTGCCCCAGCCATTTCAATCTATTAGCCCTCGTGATGATAGTGATCAATGGTGATTTTAAAACAGATTATGTATTTTGTGGGGCCCTAAGCTACAGTTTAGGTTAGCTTATCTAATCCAGCAATGCGCTTTGTTTAATCGCGCAATAATAATAATAATATTAAAAGTGCACATGACATGCAGGGTGTGTTGGAGATCCATAGAAGCCAACATTTATGTTGGAGACGTAAGGAGTAATCGTAAAGTACCCCAATATAAATTTATTATGTGGTTGAACAGCATGTGTAGGTTATGTGTACCTGCTTTATTCTCTATGATAGTCATGCAGACTGCAGTCCTGTTTTTGTTTATTTTAGTTCATATCTGAGCTCTAATTCTCAAATCCTTCATTCCCACCAATCACGACCATTTGTGTGATTATATTACTTTTTGAAGCAGCGACGGGATATAAAACATCCTATTTACAACTATCAATACAATATTTATTTTTAAATTAAAAAAAACCACACACAGCGGTCTAATTTAAGTTATTGTAAAGAGAACATGAATAGCTGCGATGGCCGAGTGGTTAAGGCGTTGGACTTGAAATCCAATGGGTATTACCCGCGCAGGTTCGAATCCTGTTCGCAGCGAATTTTTTTTTTAACAGGGGGAATTTGTGTGTGTTTTGTTGATCACTGGCTGTGCAGCCAAATGCTTGTATGTGGCACGGTGAATCGGTCACAGACATAAGGGAAGGTTAACGCCGATTGTGATGGTTACAAGGAGATACAGCATTTGATACACCGTACCTCACCTCACAGGCTAGCTTGCTCTGTGCTGGTTTACTGATACTCATTCAAGACTCTCGCCGTGCGTCCTCGTCGTGAGATAATTGCCTATATTATGGAACCTTCTGTTAACTGAACGCCCTTTCTTAAATGCTAAAGTTCGAATACAGCGAAGTTTAAAAAAAGTTCGACCTACGAAAAGGGCTGCCAATGAGATTTTTGTGAAAAACCTAGCTCTGCTGAACAAAAACCCAAGCAATACATAGACAAAGAACAAAAATTACAAAACCCAGATTGCTAAAAAGTACAAATTGTATAGTTACGAAACGATTTATTTACCCTCTTTTATATGAGGGTATTTTTTTTTTAAACCCTAGATTTCAAAATTTGAACCCAAGGCGTTAAATAAAACCCCAGATATGGGGGTAAATACCCATCATTGGCAGCCCTGCCTACAAAAGTCCTACTGTGCGACACAGTTCAGAAGTCCGACCGTCACTTGTCCTACTGTGTGACCAGACAAGGTTCAGATATCCGCTAACACTGGGCACGCCCACTCGTCAGAGTGTCGGGACAACAAGCAATAGCCATGCCTGATACCCTCTTTTCAGTTACTGTTGTGTTAAGTTAAAGGTTACAGTAGAGAGGATCGACTTTATTGCACCGGGTTTTATCCTATATGGCTCAGTCTCTCTCCGCAAAACAGCTAGCCGCCTGCTGGGATCACCACACAGAACACGAACTCCGTATCTCCGGTAACGACCCACAGGGACCTCTGTAAAAATTGCACTTGTGAGCTGAAGGGCGAAGCCGTGAAGCGAAACCACGACTTCTAGAGCACGAGGCAAACGGCTTGACCACTTCGCCACGAAGACCCCCACCCCTTCACCCCCCCCCCTCCTTTAACCCCGTCGTGCTAAGTGTCCAACAAGCTGAAAGGTGTCTAACGTGCTGAAGGAGACTGTGCCCATTTGTGTCGAAACTGAAGTCTCGGATCTGCTGGGCGCAGTTCGTTATGAGCGGGAATTTCAACATATCTATGTGATGTTAAGCAGTCATGTACCCAGGACCAGACTGAGAGATAGTCCACGAGTCACATCCGTATGTAGCCACAGGAAAGATGCATGCTCTCAAAATTCTAATTTTGATCTCCTTGCTTGTGCAGACTTTTAAGGCTGTTCAATCTTTGCATTGCTATGGCCATCCTCCTTTTAATTTCTGCCAAACAGTTTCCATTGCTGTTTATTACTTAGCCTATATATTCACAGTTTGTGACATTTTCAATTTTTTCATCATTTATTGTTATTTTTGGGTGACAGTCAGTTTTATCTGTGGACATAATTTTCAATTTCTTTCAATTCAAGAACAGATTTTGATTTTTCACTGTTCTTTTGGACAGACAATATTAAATGTTCTATTTCCTTTACTCTGTACGAAAGGAGGACTGTGTCATGTGCGTAGCGAAGTTCCGGAATTGGATTGCCAAAAACTCATTGTCTAGTAAGAAAAAAAAAACGGGGGGGGGGGGGGGGTATGTTGTGGTAAGTTCTGCGATGTTTTATAAGGAATACGATACTAACTTATGATTTTTGTTTCGTGGCATTCCCATAATTTATGTTCAATTCTGTTATTGAAATTTGTGACAGAAACACACAATACGTTTCAAAATACCTGCAAGTCTATGGTGATCGTATATCCATATTAGTCATAAGACAGATTAAATTCTTTTCTCAGCCGTCAATCAATCGGGTGCTGTCCCCACAATGAAATTGACTGCAACAGCTCTTAATAGCAACGTTCTGACTTTCGCACTGAATGTTCACACTTTCAGATTGTTTGCTAATTTCCTTCTTCTTCGCGTTCACCGGCTGTAAACTCAGACAGTAAGCTTTGAGTGTTCGTCCACCTCAGGTCTTGCTCCAGAACTTGATTGTGGCGTGAACATCATTTTCACAGATCTGGCTTATTTGTATGCAGACTTGTAGTCCTTTGCCTATCAGGCATATGTATCGGACTATGAAGGATGTACCCAATTAACCGACTCCTACGACATACGTTTGGGAAGGCAGTGAGTCTAATCTTGTTTTACTCACAATAGGACTACGGAATTCATATGGGGACGTTTGTAAATTTCTTGACTGAAACTTGCCCTTTTTTAATGGCCACAGTATTTCAATCGTGTTTGTTTATTTCCTCCAGCAGCTTTCTTTTCATTCCTAGTTCATCATCGTGTGTGTTTCAGGACCAAATTTTAAGGGGAAACAGACTAGATCCTTCCCCCCAATAAGCATGTCGTAAAAGGCGACTAATTAGGGTTTTTAGGGTGTCCTTCAAAGTCGCAGTGCAAATGCCAAAGAGGCGAGGAACCAAGTCTGCATATAATTTAAAAAAAAAGTTAGTTGCGTATCCTTTACAGGACATTTCAGAACCAACCAAAGCATTTTTTTGTGTGTGGGGAAAAAAGAGAGAAAGAAGGGGGGGGGGGGGGTTTGATTTTTCTAATGTCAATTTTACGTTCAGTGGTTTGCTATTGTCGGCTCTGTGGCTTAGTCAATGAGAATTTGTAATGCCGGGTACGATCCCAGCTGCGAGCCATAGGCTTTGCGTTGGTTTCAACAGTGGTATCAAGAAAGCCGACAGTCCAGAAAGCAATGGCAAACTACTGGACGTAAATCTGCTTAGAAAAACCAAGTTGGTTCTGCAACATCCTGTAAAGGATACGCAACTAACCTAGTTTGCTATCGCGTCCGTCTGAATTGTCAGCTCTCGTAAAAAACAATATCTATAAAACGGATGTGCAGGCAAAACTCAAGTTCAAGAGTAAGACCAAAGTTCAGGAGTGGACGAAAAATTAGAACCTTCCGCAAGAGTATACAGTCGGTGAACAAAAATTCCAAGCCTTTCAGAACCTTTGTATTTGGTGTGTGTTCTCCTCCCAATGTGGCCAACAAATGTTTATAGCCTCTTTCTGACTGAACCCCCATACTGCATTCCATAATGACGTCACACTATTCATTTTAAAACAAATAAGAAACACTAACATAATAATATAAAAAATTAACAGAATAATTTTTCAGTTACTTTAAACTGAATTACAATTTAGACTTGAGTATTTAATAAAATGAAGTAATAATGGAGATAACGTGAAAGCGAGAACGGCTGGCTGCATAATGCAGGTCACGTGACCGGGTTTCTGTACTGGGCGAAACTGTTTGAACTTGAGAGTGCGCGTTAGGGGAGCTGCTGATCTGCGTTCTTTAGTCGTTTAGTTTCTGTTTGTTGAGCTATGTCCGAGGAAATGCAGCATGACGGAGTCGAACAGTTTGATGGGCAGACCCGTAACGAAGAAAATGCCAGCGAGTATACCGAGAATCAAATGACTGTTGATGACAATGACGAGGAGGAAGATGACAGGTGAGTAAATGTTGACTGTGATGGTGGAAGCCGGCGAGGCGAGGGCTTTGTTCAAAACTAAGATGGCGGGGGATGGGGTTTTGAAGGCATGAGAATAAACCGGTAAAGTTTGAAAATGTATACAGTTCAGTGATTGTGTGTGTTTAGTTTCTTGTTTATAGATGACTACAAAATATGTACGATAAACCTTTGCATTTAAATGACTTTACCTTCAATAATAATTTTTTTTAAATTGCGGTTTTTGTAGTCTCTACTAGAGAAAGAAAGCATATCATTTTTTTTCTTTAAAAACTAAGAACAGTTATTTTGTAGTCACAGAGTTAATAAAATTAAGTTCAGCTGACATCAGCAAGATGTCCTATAAATTAATAATTTTAATTGTATTCATATACACTTTGGCTGATGTAATTTTTAATCTGAATGTTGATTTATTTCTGTGACATCATATTGACAGACTACAGACATGCGTTTTTCCTTTTATGTGTAAATTATTCATTAGGGGAATCACCCTTTTTTCACTGGGTGCGCGGTTTGGGGTATACGACGCAACTAACCTGAACTCTGGCAGAAGGTTCTGGTTGTTTATCCACTTCACTTCTGCCTGTTTATCCACTTCACTTCTGCCTCTGGACTTTAGTCTTGCTTAAAAGCCTGAGTTTTTCGTGCACATGTTTTACATATTGCCTGATTTTTATGCATATTGACATATTGTTGATGTTGGTTCCTCGTCAGTCAGACAGGCACTTCAGCTTCGAAGAAAACATCCCTAATAAGATTTTTACGACATGTTTTACGCTTGTTAGTGCTAGGGGGCAGTTGGTCTATTAATATTCTTTGCTTTTCCCTGTCCCCCACAACACAAGACCCAGCACTTGCACAGGAAATATATTAGAATTAGGGGCTATCCTCCTAATAACGGTCCCAAATTATCGATGCCAAAAATATACTTAGTCACGTGTCAATTGCGTACTTCCAGGGACTATACCGCCACCGTCGAATTGCGATCTTCCGGGGAATAATACCGCCACCGCCGAGAGTATACCCCTAACCGCTTATGCAGCGTGGATTGGGGCTAAACTAGATGGCTGGTACTCACGAGCAAATATAATGTAGGAAGCTGCAGGAGATGCGGTAGCTGCTGCTTGTGAGTCCCAGTCATCTAGTTTAGCCCCAATCCGCGCCGTGTAGAATACTCTCGGCGGTACAGGAAGTGCGCAATTTAAGTCGCCGGAAGTGCGCAAGTGACACGTGACTGAGACCCTGTTAGGGTATATTTTCGGCCTCTATAATTTAGAACCCTTATTCTGAAATGACCTTGGCTCCAAAGGTTGACCTAGCCTTGAGTGGGTACTGGGTGCAGTCCCAGGAAGTAAAGGCGGCCGGCTTGATGCTGACATCACCCATCTTGTGCCGATTGGTCTTTAAAATATGTCTAGCCCAAATGCCTGAAAACGCCCGAAACTACAGAAAAGGGTCCTTTACTTTTTTCCTTTTAGGAAAATGACAGCATATTTAGTAAAACACAAATTAGCTTAATTTAAGTTCAAAATGTAATGTAGGAATTGTAAACTGCTAAGATTTGAGAGAAATGGACTATTCTGACTCAAAAGCCGCTATGTTAAAACTGAACAGGAGATTCTCATCTGATCGAGGGCAATTCTTTTGGAACATATGGAAATCTGTGCCAGTTTGTATCTTTATTGCAGTGTCCTATTAAAGCACATCCCCCCGATGGATTCAGAGGTCCCTATTCTTATTGGGAGGGGGGGGGGGGGCGGATAGACCCACTGCCTCCCTAACTTAACCAGCTTGCTGTTTGCTGCAACTAATTAGGGATTTTTCATCAAATCTGCTAAAGAAGCAGTTCTGGATTAAGGCAAAAGTCCAGAAATAGATGAGCAACCATAACTTTTTGCTAAAGTTTACAGCTGTTGAACACAAAGAAGAAAAGAGCATAGGGCTTGATTTGGCAGATTTGCTTTGACATTTTAACAAATGAAAATTAGAATCAACAGATGACATGTGACTAGGTACTTCAGTAGAATGTAGAAATAAAAATTACACCGGTCTTTGTTTTAGTATAAATCTAGATACATGTATTTCAGCAATACCTGTCTTTAGAAGTGGAAACATTTTACGTGGAAGTTATAGACATACATTCAGTAACATAAACAATAAAACCTAATTTATGAATGGATTATATTTTCCCCAAACAAAATAAAATTTCACAAAATATTGTCCACAAATAGTCCTCTCTCGGCAGGGTATTTTTCTTCTTCGCGTTCTCTGGCTGGAAACTCCTGGCAAATACTGGTTGTTTGTCCATCTCTGGACTTTAGCCTTGTTGTGAAGTGCGGATCAAGGCCAGCATGTGCATACACAGTGCAAAGGTCGGAGAAAACAATACCAGAGGACAGCAGCGCTCACCAGACAACCACGTCAAGCATGACCATGAAAATAGCTTCTTGTAGAGCTTAGCATAGGTATCCGAGCAAACCGCCACACAGGCAGCTAGTGGATCTACACGCCTGGTCATGCAGCAAGTGGACCAACTGGCAAGCAGTGCACCAAGGCATGTTTGAGCAGATGTTGTCAAAGCTGTACGGACTGGGTTAGTGGATAATAAGAAATTCCTGACACTAACACGTTTGCATGACAAGGGAGTAAAGCATAGTGAAGCAGCTTTTCATAGGAACAATTAGTAGAAATACTTTAGAGTGGCTGCTGCATAGGAATACTTAGCGCGCTTGAGTATGTCCAGTGTGCAATGACGATTGTGATAACATAACAATTGGAACACCATTTTTTCCCCCACAGTTTACAAACCGTGAATGCACAAATTTGCTCTGTCAAGGATGCATTCAGCTCCTATTTTATGATTATTGCAAGTTGTAGTGTTGTAGCTGTTTGTCCTAAATTTGCTAATTTGTTTTAATCAACAGGAAATTGTTTGTTGGTGGACTGAGCTGGGAGACAACTACAAGTAAGTTTTACGTGTCAAAGGATGTTAGTTTTAAATCTTGTTTGATGGATTGCTGGTGTTATTTGTTTAGTCATGTGTGCAATTTGCTGTAAATAACTTTTGTATTTTTAAATCCCTACTGATTCCTGCAGCCTAAAGCAGTAAATATGTATATTATCTACTGTTAAAGATGGGAATAAACTATAAATTGTAACTTTCTACAACAGTAACAGGATTTTTTCTTTTAGCTAGTGCATTTGTGGGCTCCAGAGTGTGTATGAGATTGTTTTGGTTAGTGGTGGTCCACTGGTCTGAGACCAGACATGGTCCTGCACTCGGCGAAGAAGGTCACAAGCTCGAAAAGTACTGTGAATTGGTGGGCGGTCTGAGGAGAGATAAGGTGTACAGGCACTAAAACAACTTTGCAGAGCAACCAAAAAAGCTTCGAGCTGGCTGTGTGGAAAAGAACTTTGCATCTCTTTAAAACAAAAGTATCCACTGTCTCTCTATCAGCAGCCAGTGACTCTCTGCCAAAGTGTAACCTAACGTCAGTCCAGTGAACCAACCAAAAGCTTGTCACTCTGGTTGTGGAGATAGTCTGCAATTTGCTATCACAGGGACAAATATATAACACCAAACCTCACAATATTTGTTGTCACCATTTCTTCTCGTCCGATAAGCGCAGCATGAGTGTCCGAGGCCTGGCTTCATGAACCAGATGGGCCCACCCTCTGAGATTGTATAAAAGTTTAATGAGCCGAAAGTTGTTGAGGGACCCCTTTTACTGATAATTGGTAAAGCTCCTGCTATGCATGCTCCCTTGTGATCTTATTTAGCCAGAACACTTGTGGGTTCCAGAGTGGTTAAGAGATAGTTTTCCTGAAAGGAAAGGCATTAAAGAAAAAGTCCTGTAATGTGACAAGGTGTATATGAAAACCTCATGCTTACAACCTTTGCAAGATCTTTTGTTGCCATTTATCCCCCACCCCCTTGCTCCGAGTATAACACTGCTTAGCTATGGCTGCAGCTCACTCCATCCTGTTCATTTCTCCTCTGTATGTATCTATTATCGCAGCGCTCCACGCAGATCTGTAGATGCTCCAACCTCAATAGCTTTGCAGATGTAGAGTGATGAATCCCACATATTAAACTTAAATGTTTAAATTCTTAATTTGATTCTTACAGAGGATCTCCGAGAACACTTTGAGAAATATGGAGAGGTCACAAACTGCACTCTGAAAACAGATCTGGAAACAAAGAAGTCGCGAGGTTTTGGGTTTGTTGTGTTTGCCACAAGAGAAGCTGTTGAAAAGGTGATGCTAGTGTTTTAATATATTGTTTGCTTTTCTGTGTTATACATTTGTGTGTGTGTGTATTTTTAATTGAATCAGCTTCATTTGATTGATTTTAAAAAAAAATTTGTTTATTTTAAGAAATGGTTTTAATCATAAGAAATGTCTGAAGAAGTTGGATTATGGTCAGATGTCACAAATATCACAGCTGTGATGTAAACAGTAAACAATTTTAAGTGGGTCGGCATAGATACGAAGTTACTTCCTAAATGTGGCCCAGCATATACTCAAAGCTATTATTAAGCCAGCAAATGTCTAGCTACAGCATTACGACAGCAGCTAAGCTGAATTTGTGTGTGTGTGTGCTAATTTTATGTCTGCTTTCTCTTTCTTCCATTATCCACAAAGGTTTTGGCTGAAAAAGAGCACAAATTACATGGGAGAACGATAGATCCCAAACAGGCTAATCCTAGACAAGTCAACAAGAAGATATTTGTTGGCAGACTGGACCCTTCAATTACAGAAGAGGAGGTTAAAGCTTACTTTGAAACATTTGGCCCGGTGAGTGGTCCAGATTGCAGATTATATATTATTTATTATAGATTACTGTTTCAGTGTTTCTAGTGAAAATAATGCAGCTTTTGTCTGGGACGTAAGGAATGACAAATTGGTTTTCTATCTCATCAGGTGTCAGGGATGTGTCAACTCACTATTGCTATTTATTACTTACATTGATAGAATTTCATAAAAAGCAAATACAAGCACTGGAAAAATCAGTGAACTTTGTTTGCAGTCAGTCAGTGTCTAGTACACCAAGAATAAAATTAACATCAAAGCTGCACACAGTATGATATAAGAATGAAAACTGAAGTAATTAGGATAGGCAGGAAACACGATACCATGTATGTCCATGTTAACAGTACTACAATAAAACAAGTATGAGAATTCAAATATGTAAAAGCATATTTACGGAGGGTGGCAGACTAGATAGTTAAAAGAGTACAGAAGGCAATGTTGTCACCTACCAGTTAGCCCCATGGCTTAGACACCCAAATGTTTCCCTTCCAGCAAAACAAATGATTAATAGCATTTTTATCCTTTATGTTATAAGTACCCAAACATGAACAAGGAATAGGCACCAGAACAGAAAATAACTAGATGTAAAATGTGCTGTCTCTACAAGGTCACAACACTAGACTGCATGTGCGACTTTCTACAGTAGAACATTTGGAAGGAAAGCGATAGGAAGACCAAGAAAAAGATGGATAAATTGTGTAGCTGAAACCTGCAACAGACCTGAATAACGAATACATCACTCAAGCCACCCGAGAAGCCCAAGGTATCAGTGAGGTGACGAAAGAAAAGGATGCCTAGGAAATATTTCAGTCACATGGCTTTCACTGCAAGTGTAATTAAAATTAACAAAGACCATATCCTGAATGAATTTGAATTTTATGTGACACAGATGACTATCTTTAACTAATCTAGTATATATTTCCAGTTTGGGTCCCACAGGAAAATATTACAGGCACACACACCACTCCTTACTTCTCTATTCTCCCCTTTACAATTTTCAGAGGGGCCATGCTCTGGAACTCTCTCAGGAATCTGTATTGACTGTTCTGATAATATATTAAATGCTAGTGTTTTTGTATTTTAATTGACCTGGCGTTTGGACAGCTCTATTTCATACATGACTAAAACTACTAGTCTGAAACACATACCGATGAAAATAGAAGTGACCGCATTCACGATGGTATCAGTGAATTTACTGAATTGAAACTGACTAAAAGCACAGACAGAAACAGAATGTTCCAATCATCTGTCTCCAAGTAGCGCAACTAGAAGAGAAATCCTAGGGGTGGTGTTTTGGATTTCTGTTTATTATGTTGGCTACTCATTGATAAAGACTTCTGCTGACATATTTGGGTTTTGGTTTTTTTGGAGTGTTTTTGTTTTGTTCCCTTGTTAGACAAGGATGGTCCCATCACTTTACAAGTTCAGTGTGGGAAAAATCATAATATATTAGGTTTCTAAAAACTTTTTGGTTGTGTATTGATACCTGGGTATTTTCCCCCACAGTAAATTATTTTTTTAAATACTATATTACAGGTCGAAAAGTTGGAGCTTCCTTACGATAAAACCAAAGAGCAGAGACGTGCTTTTGGCTTCATTGAGTTCAAAAAGCTGGCAGGCTTAAAAAAATGCTTAGAGCAGACAAGTCATAAAATAGGCACACACGAGGTATGTCCTGCTCCGATGTTTTAATCCTTCCAAATTAGATATTGTATTAACTTTAGTGAAAAAGTAACAGCAATTTTAACTGTAATTTATATTATAAAATTTTCCTTTCCCAGATTTAATCCAAGCATAACTTTTCCAGTTCAAGATCTGCTATTAAAACTCCATATTGATGGTAATTGTACTTGGTAAATGAATCAATCACTGTTGGAGTCAGTGAAATCAGATGTTCTCATTGCATTTAATGGCCCCAGCAGTAATCTTTCAAGCTAGTTACTTTTGTTTATTTTTGAAAAACTACGACTGAAGCTGCTTTTGTTCCACTTCCCGCAGGAGACGAAAATGATGAAACAGGAGCTGGGAGTGAAGTGGGCCGTGAGGTACCATAAACTCTAAGTTGGTCTAAGCTCATATATTTATAACGTTATTTGATCTTTCAACATTTACAGTTTACAATAATTTCACATTGAAAGTAAAATAATTGTTCTTAAAAGATAATTTTTTGTTTTCATAATCTGACAGGTTTCAAATTTTGATTTTTCTTTAGCAACAAATGATGGATTGGAATCTTAATGGCTGATATCTTGTGATCAACAACTGTTAAAATAAAATTCTTAAAATTGATTTTTCTGTTAATGATAAATATTACCATGAATTCTTGTGTGCTGACAGACTTGGGACAAGCCATTTTTTTTCTACGATAACAGGTGATTGCTTTGCGATTGGTTTTTCATAAAGAAAAATTCAGACTTTAATGAAGAAAGAGGGTTTAAAAATAAGTAGCTGTCATTGCACCTGATTTTTGTAAAATAAGTGAAAGAAAAAAATATCTGTGGGTGGGTTAAGTTAACAGATGGGGATGATAAGTAACACTAATTATTATGTTAAAAATATTAGCAAATTGTTGACCAAACACTTTTACAACATGTTCTTTTGGTAGCGTTTAGCTAGGGACAAATTAGTCTGAGAGTATCTATTATGACCTTTTGACACTTGGTAAAAAGAAATAGCATTTATATTTCCTATATGCCAGCTTGGCATTGCATTAACCGTTAAGTTAAAGCAACTGGGCCTAGAACTTTATTCCCTGTATGCCATGCCATGGAAACTGGCATGTCCTGATTTATTCTTAACAGAAATCACTTTTAATCATGTATTATCTAGTTTTTCTTTTTTAAATGGGTTACTTGGGCTTTCTTGCATTTTGAGTTTCTTAAAGTCAAAGTTGTCCCCAGTCTGTTGGTACTGTGTACTTGGTTGTTTATTGCTGTTAATGCTGTTGTAATGTTCTTTAAGGTTGAGGTAAAAAAGGCTACACCTCCGGGAGGTGCCACTGTTAGAGGTGGTCCAGGAGGACGAGGCTTTTCATCGGGTGGAAGAGGTGGTCGGGGTGGCCGAGGTATGTATTTTTATTGGTTTTGATTAAGTATAGGTAATGTAATAGTGTTACTTGTGGGCTTTACTGTGAGTCCAGTAGTCTATGGACTGTAGGCGCACATTTTCTCTTAAGTAATGATCTAAAAATTGTAGAGCTCTAAAAAATAATGTTTATCTAAGTTACATAAAAAAACAGCATAACTGTGATGGAAAATATAAACTAGTCAGTTCACTGGAATGGGTAGTATGCAGCAGCACAATTTTTGGACACTAGCTCTTTTTATTCTTCGTGTTCACCAGCTGTAAACTGATGGAAAGTTCTGTTTTTTGCCTCTCAGGTAGATGCACCTCCACTTTAAAGGAAATTCCCAATTAGTCAACTCTTATGACATGCTTTTGGGTAGGCAGTGGGTCTATTTTTTCTCTCCCTTTAACTGGGCCCAATAATCCACATCTAGGGGGAAAGCCACTGCACTGCTATCTGAGATACAGTGAAATATGCCAGGCAATACATTGTGAAATACACTGTTTTTGTACACATTTTAATTACTGTTTGCTATAGCAGTGGTGATGACCGATTATTACATAACTGTTTCAGGTGGCTACCAAGGGAGCTATGGTTATAACCAAGGATATGGAGGCTACGGTGGATATGGTGGTTATGGCTATGATCAGGGTTATGGTTACGGCGGATATGGTGGGGACTACTATGGTAGTGGATATGGAGGTTATGGTGCCTGGAATGGTAGCGGATATGATCCAAGTTATGGATACGGATATGGTAAGTAGCTGTTAATATATATGTCTGTGTTTTTGTTTTTAGTTAAAGAACCTTGTTTACACAAGTGGAGAATATTACTGATTTTAGAAACCAGCCGATAAGTGATGTGGTCAGTATCACGTTGGCCGCCTTCACTTTCCAGGACACTACTTGTTGCCAATTTCAAGCTGGTCATCTTTGGAGGCGGAGTCATTACAAACAAATTAATTGAATCCACCAGGTGCAGATTTGAACCTAAAACTGGATGGCTGCCATGCTACCTCTGCTCCGCTTTGTGTGTATAGCTTATTTAAATATAGAATCGAAATCAATGTTTACAGAGTGGTTATTGAATACTTATAATCCCAGTATGCTAAACTAGACTGAAACAGGAAACAAGAACGTCCAAGAGAAACCCTAGGATGAATGCCATTGAGACCAAAAGTGCTGGACTGAATCCAATTCATGATATGGAAAGCATTGCACAAGGATAGAACCCAATTGGAAGTTTTGACTGTCAGGCCTGCGACAGATTGATGATGATAATGATACTCTTCATGTCATCTTAATTTTAATGTTGCATAAAAGTCACTAAATTATTTAAGGAGACTAATTTCTTATAAACAAAGTGGGATTAAATTAGTAACTGTTTTCTTTGGTAATTTTTTTTAAAGGCTACGATGACTGGGGATACGGACAAGGAGGCGGTGAGTGATTTCTGTCAGTTTGAGAGAAAAAAACCCGGTTAGGGTGCCCTGTTCATTTTGCACTATGTGCCAGACAAATTGTTAAATTGCTTTGAGATTTGGAAACCATGTAATGGCAGGTGACAGCTTTAAAAAACAGCATTACTGTCTGCTGGTTTAAATTTGCTGATCATGGGGCACATAGCATCTTTCCACTGACACTAGGTTAAATTTGCTGATCATGCGGCACATAGCATCTTTCCACCGACACTAGGTTAAATTTGACATAATTCACCTGAGAAAAGTGGGCCTCATCCTAGTTGGTCCACATTTAAGTGAGCAGTAATTGAAGGCCCCCTTTTTCACATACCAATGACACATTAATAAAATTGCAATTGTTGTGTATATTGTGCTACACTTTATAGACCAACTAATGAACTGTTCCTGTTCCCTTGTTGAACTTCTAGCCATAGTGTGAACCTTTGATTATTCTTCAGAACAGTGTTACTTACACTAATTCGGCTGTTTTTGCCCTTAATAGAGTGGTTGGTATATTGTGGTTTACAGCGAAGCTTGATATCTGCTTTCAACTCAACGCATTTTATCAAAGCTTTTCTTTGTGTGGGCTCATAGGCGCCCACTGTTGGTCGGAGGAATAAGACCCTCTGCACCCAACAAGCATTTCGAAAGAGTTGACTTATTAGTGATGTTTCTTATCGAAGTCAGGGTTTATCTGCCTGAGAGGCAAGGAGCCAAGTCTGTATACTAAACCTGATCTAAAAAATGAATGTGCACACAGGACCTAGGTATTGGAAGAAGTCCAAAGGTGGATAACAAACAGGTCGTTGCTGGATTTGCAGTGGGGAAACAGGATCAAATGTCTCTAACCCACACACATAGGACTTGTTGCATTGATGATTTTTTTTTTTTCACTGTGACTGTGCTCTTAGGGTCTATTATTCTTCTTTTTACGTTTTGTTTTATCTCTACTTTTGTGGGCAATGTTTTTTCTGTTTTTCTACCTTGTTTGTGTTTTATGAAAATCCTATATGCCTATTGAAAATAGAAAAGATATGTGGTGAGAATGAACTCCTTTCACACACTTTGGTTTATTTAACTACCCGGACCAATATGACTGCCAGTACATATAGTTGCTGCTACCAACACACTTTTATAATTCTTTTCCATCTTATCTTCAATGAAATAAGATTTTTTTAGGGGGGGTGTATTGTGTCAGATGCTTTGGAATAATCTGTAAAATGTACTTCTGAAAGAAATGCAATTCATATTCAGTTAATAAAGTTGTACCCAACAGTCAAACGGCGTCATCCATTGAGTAGCTCTATTGCTTTGCTTTAGTATTTGTGACATCAGATATTATATACAGTGGTAGTTTTCTCATGCTACTTCTGCATGCTTTGACAAGTTATTGCATGGTACAGGTCTGTTAACAAAGAAAGAGCAGCTTTGCAGTCTAGATCATCTTCTCTGTCAGGGCACTTATCCCAGCTAAGATCTATCAGGTTAAAAAGCAACTATAAAATAAATACTGCATGCAATGTGAAAGTCTGCTTTCTAGTGGTACAAATGCTGTAATGATATCAGATGTTTCCAAATATTTTTATATCCAGTCAAGGGTTTGTCGCTGACTGCTGAACACATTTTTATCTGGAACGTTTTTAAACAATCAGCAGATAACTAGAGCTTTAAAATACCTAGAGCTTTTAAAAAAAAAGTTACATGAACCACTTGTCATTTAGGTCGTGTTTACCCTCGTTTACACAGTTCACAGTCCCTATGTGGGACCTGACACTCATGGTAGAAAAGCCATCTATTCGTTTGCTTTCTGTCCCTCTGAGGGGAAAAGTAGATTAAGAAGTGCTGTTTATTTTCTTTATTTAGAAAAATATTTTAAAAAGCATTTTAAAACACATTTTTGGGTAAAGTTTATTGCTGTTTGGCGTCCATCATGCTTGTAAATTATTTGGTCTGGGACCTTCTTACCTGTATTAGTTAAAAATGTATTTTGGTTATTTGAGTTTTGTTATAGTGAAAGTTTTTTGTTGTTGTTAAATATCTGGTGACTAGTGAATATGTAGTACTTAAAAACAAACTTAGTGATCTCCTGAGATGTGCCATTTTGTCATGGAGAAACTACTGCCAGGTAATGCAAGTTACGTCCTGCTAGTAACAGAATCACCTAGTGTTACCTGTAACATTGTTTTGTTAGCCTAGGCATCTAAATGTTTTTTTTTTAATCAATCGATGTAAATGCACAACGCGGTGGGGTATACAGTTCTGTCCACATTTTTCTCCCGCAGATGCTATGGTTAAATGTGAAAACAAAATTTCTAACAGTTTCTTAATTTTTTTAACAGGTCAGGCAAATTATGGTAAAACGCAAAAGAGAGGCGCTGGCCATGGAGGCTATCATCCTTACAATCGCTAGGTTGGGTAGCTATAATTCTAATATTCTATATTGTTCATTTGCCGTCTGTATTTTTAATTTTTTCCACTTTCGTTGAGTTCAGTGCAGCTCATGGCACAGTCCTTCAATTTTGTTGGGAGAGGATTTGTTTCGGACAGAATAATTTTTACTGGGCAAGCTGTGTGCTGTCTGCACTGTTTTCAACAATGGTATAGTAGAACTAAAATGCACAGTCGCTTAATCAGAAGCATTGAAATTGTAAAAGGGCTGGCTACAAAGTTTTTTTTGGCGGTTTTATTTAAATTATATTTTACATGAATGTACATAACCGCCGATTGGGTTTTTCTTTTATTGCTCATATGGCCCTTTTACAGTTAACGAGCATTGCACATGTAGCTGTAGAACTAATATGAAAATATGTAATGTGTCCGTACCATGCCTAATCTTGCCTCAAGTTCAGTTATACACTGTTGATATATTTTAGTTTATTTATGTGATTTTATTACAGCAGGACGTAATCCAGCAGTTATAGGTATTCTGTGTTTCATTTTGCTGCTATCTTAAATTTAAAGTTGAAATATATTTTTCTAATTAATTTCACAAGATGTGTACACTTGTTCCCATGTTAGGTAGTTTCCATTAGTTTTGCATGATGTAGCAAACTAAAGAAGTTGAATTGTAAACAAACAATTGGATTTATACACTAGTTTTCTGTAAATTGCTTTGTATTTTTAAAAGAAAAGATATCTTTTTGTATACATTTTTAGAAGTAATTATTTCCATAGCTAGGCAGGTTCAGAAGCAGCAGCTTGTAGTCTTTTAAATGACTGCTCTCAGCTTATTAGTAAAAAACAAAGTGAAGGGCCCTCATGTCTTCTATGTCATTGGTGCATTGGACATTTTGTGAAGGACACATTTTTCTGTAGACCAGTCAGCAGTTGATGAGTGGTGATAGCATCATGTCGACCACCTTATGATTTTTCCTGATACTTGATTGATTAAAGCTAGGCTAGCCTGAAAGCCCATTTCCAGTAAATTTAAAAAAATCTTCCTAAATATGGATTCCGATCTTTAGGACTGAACGCATATGTTCAGTCACTGTACTGCATCTTCCTGAACCTATTAGTCGGTACTAATTGTATTTCATGTAGTAGAGCTCACTTTTATAATCACATATTAAGAAGACAAAAGAAAGGTGATGTTTGTAAGTAAAAATATTTCTCTAAGCCAGGCATGTGTAACTAAGGTTCCCATGAGAGTTGCGCATAATAACTAAAGCCAGGCAATAAAACTATTCAAGAATATTTACTTTGTGCTTGCCGAGGGCCGCCAGACATGCCTGCTCTAGGCCCTGGGGTCGCAAGATATTCTGTGGTAATCACCGGGCGGTGGTAAGGTATAAATTTTGTTGAAAATGGAAAGCCAGAAATATACAGCAAATGCCATTTTTGTGTGTTTTAGTTGAGCTGATTAAAAAGTCCAAGGTTGACTCTGGTCATAGCCATTGCTGTGTTATCACAGACAGGTCTTTTCAGCAGCTGGAGGAAATAGCTGAATATATCAATGGCAGACACAACATGACCAGTAATTTGTCTTTGTTACTGGTAATATTAATGTTTAACGTTGTATATCTCTTTTTCTTCAGGCCACTAAATGTCTGAGGTCGTCACGGAGGAGCATTAATTGTAAAGGATGGACTTTTATCGCTGATTTTATGTCATTCTCATTTGTACATGTTTTACTGTATTAAACTGCAAGTTTTTTTTTTTTAAAAAGTCTTTGCTGTCTCCCATTTATTATTGCGCCTGGATTTGGTGTGTTGAATATACAACTGCTTCCATATTCGTGTTTATGAAAATGCTTGTTGTTACTAAAGAAAGTATTAGTGGCAGCCGCTCTGAAATATGTGTGCATGGTACACATATTTCTGTTGTAATATTACAGTTCTGCAAATAAAACTGCTGGAAGCACATATTAGTTAAATTGTGCAGACAGTACTAGTCTTGATTTACATGTTTGTTTTTGTTTGTCGTTTTTTTACAGGCACACGATCCACTCATTAGTCAAAAACTGCTGAAAAAATTTCCTAAATACGCTAAGTATGCTGTGCTTCACCCACCGTCTTTAGTTCTAGCAAGCAAGCCAGTATTCTCATACATTTATATCTGCTTTGATCCCCAGTGTAGGTTGCAGAGCACTAGTTTTGCACACACACACACACACACACAAAATAATAACGGCTCCACTGCTCTGTTTCTTCTGAATTCGCCCTAAAAGAGCAGCTGGCTTGTGTTGTAATTTAAGCTTTCAGTTTAACTGGTATTTTTTATGCAAGGGCCATGGTTAAAAGTCATATTTTTCTGAGCATCCATTTAGTGGTTTGATATATAAGACTGCTGTCATTTGCATTGTCTATCCAGATCCTCTAAACGAAGAAGAGTAACCATCTATCTTTATGCCTATTTTTTTTATTTGTAACTTCCTCCGTTGGTCAGTGTAAAATAAAAATTGTGAGTACACACCCTTTTTTAACTGCGGTGACAAAATGTTGTATGGCTATTGCAATGAAACCTGAGTAAATTGCTGTGATGTTTTTTCTTCTGTGGTAGGCCTTTGTGTGAGAAATTTATTGAATTTTGATCAGTAAGCAGTTTATTTTTTTTTTTTAAAAAGCAACAACCAAGATCTTAACACGGATCTCATTGGACAGGGATTACAAAAATCAAATTAACACGACAGAGATGGAATTTGTGCAGCAGAACTGCAAAAACACTGTCAGAAGACCATAAATTGCCTGTGAAATAAAAACTGAAAACATCACTCCTAATTCGTTTTGAAGTTAGTCTCATGTCACCTGAGATCGGGTATAAAAAGTTAGTTGTGTATCCTTTACAGGGCATTGCAGAAACTGCCCTAGCATTTATCAGTTGTGGTTTTTCTAGGCATATTTTACGTACAGTAGTTTGCCAATGCTCTATGAATGGTTACTCTCATTTAGAGGATCATTTAGAGGCAATAGAGGTGAATGCCAAAAAGGACTTAAGGTTATGGCAGCAATAGACATGGAACAAAGAATGTTCCAGGATTCGAGTCTGTCAGTGATCGATTATGGACTTTGAATGCTGACCACATCAAAGTGTCTGCTGATGAAACTTGAACGCATATTGAATGAAGCCATATGGGTAATTCCGGAATGTTCAAGAGATACCCCGGTAGTATGTATGCAACACATACTTGCACGGCTGACTATTGCAGTTCAGATATACTCAAAGCGCTGCTAGTTAAGTCATTATTAGAGTAGAAACAAATAATAAACACCACCTGCATGAAGCCCTAGACAGAGCTAAGGGTCACAGACTGAAACCAGGAAGGTCTTGGATGGCGCAAGCTGAAGAAACCATTAAACAGGTTTGCAGGTTTGATAACACTGAACTAGGAGAGGAGTGGGTCAGAATGTCCCAGTAAAGGTCAGGTTTGTGTAGAGTTCTGATAACACTGGGTCGTAAGTGCGGGAACTGACCAGCGAGGTCTACAGAATCAGAATGTCAACAATCGATTCATAATTCTTGGCCAGGTGATGTGATAATCTATACAGATGTGTGTCTGTGTTGAGAGGCAGACGAAGCGCATGGGGGTTCTAAGCAAAAGTGAATAGACGTCGTCTGGTGCAACAAAGCCTGGCATATGACACCACAACATTTAGTCTGATAATGGAGGTGGAGGCAGTAACTGCAGCCTTTCTCTGGTGTGAGAATTAGCTGTACACGCATGTCGTAGTTGTAACCAACTCACGGAGCATATTGAGAAAGGTAGAGATCGATGTTTTCCGTGGGAAGCGCTGCTTCATAGGTCTCGGATTGTTACCGTTCTTTGGCTATTTTCCCCATAAGATGCTGGTGTGTTAGGAAGTGAACAGGCGGATAGACGGCTGATTTGGCACAACATGGTGGTCAACTGATGCATGACAAGCTAAATGTTGTAAGGGCAACTTTTGGGGCGAGTGAACAGTGCGGTTTCTCAGATGGATCATCTTGGTACGAAAAGAATGGTGCTGCGAGAAATGAGTAGGCTGCGAGAAGTGAGGAGGCGATCTGGTCGACGATTAACTTCTTCAATTCCTCTTTTACCGCTGTGGGTGTCGAGGGAGATATAGGTTTCTGTTTCTAGCTCTTCTGGCTGCCTCGACCAAAGGCACATCGTGCTGTTGTAGAGTTTCTCTGATGTTATCCTTCCATATTGTTCTTGGTCTACCCCCTGCTCTACGTCCTTCTTCTCTTTCCATGTATGCTTTGTATAGTATGGTGTCACAAGGCATTCTCTCTAAGTGGGCAAACCATTTCACTTGCTGTCTTTGTATGTAATCCAGAATTGGTTCTGTGCCGACTTGTTCTCTTATGATCTCATTCCTGATCTTATCTCTCATGGTCACTCCTACAGCCCTTCTCAGACATCTCATTTCCGTGGTTACTAATTTTCTGTTATGGTTTGTTGTGAGTGACCATGTCTGGCACTGGTAGCACAGAGTTGGGAATAAATATGCTCTGAATAAGATGTCTCTTTGTGCTGATTGGTATTGTCTTATGCTGTAAGAGGGGGGCTAGCTGTCCCAATACTTGGTTTGCTTTACTGCATCTAATGTCAATTTATCCAATGTCCCATCTTCGGTAAATGTAGTTCCCAGATATTTAAATTCAGATGCCTCTTTAATGCCTTTGAATTCTATTGCTATGTTTAGATCTGTCTTCTTTTTTCCTATTGACATTACTTCTGTCTTTTCAGTGTTGACGATTAACACTCAGGGGAAAGGTGAGACGAATGTAAAATTAGACTGCTTTTGTTACCATTGGATTCTCAACTCTCCGCTTGCTGCTGAAGATGGGAAATGTCCCGAGTGATGTGATGTCGATTCTCAATTCAACATTCCACTAAAAGCCTCAGCTTTGTACTATTTTTTAAGAATTTAATTGTTTTGTTTTTTGTTTTCTCTTAAACATTATTTCCCGAGAATTCTCGACATAATTTTGAATCTCCACGGAGACGATTGTCCAGTCACGTGTTTCCGGTGGTGTGAATCTGACCGAAGGACACCATGGCAGACCGACAGGTTAGCAACGATTTGAAAACGGGATCAAATATCTCCTTAATATTTTGATGTTATTTGAGTATCTTAGGCACAAAGCGGCAAAAGAGTTGAACGGGGGGGGGGGGGGGGGGGGGGGGGGGGTTCATAAACTTGGCGACAAACACGCTTCTTTTTCGGTCTGATGGACACAGGTTTGAAGCTCTATCGACGCAGTGCCATATCACCGATGCAAGCAGCGGAGAATGAGAGATAGCAAAGAAATTCAAAATTCAGTCATCACTAATTACTGGCATCATGAAGATTAATAGACTGCAAGTTGTTACATACAGAGAGAAAAGCAAATTACAGAGACAAAACGAAGTACACACAAGTATCACTTCAGAGTTCCCGGGTAGTTAGCATCCGTTGGATATTTTCTCCAGGATAATGCCGGTGTTTTGGGAAACGAGCAGGTAGATAGACTGTCTGGCTATGCACCACTTGGTGGATTGATGTATGACAAGTTAGATATTGTGAGGGCCCTTTGGGAGCGAGTAAACAGCGCGGAGGCGCAGATAGATCATTACGGTCTAAAGAGAATATGCTGCGAGGAGTTACCAGGGGATCTGGCCGACGCTCAACACTCAGGGGAAGGATGAGACAGATATATAATCAGACGGTTACTAGTACCATCGAAATTGGAACTCTTCGCTTGCTGTTCAAGATAGGGACTGAGCACTTATGGGAGTGCTGTGTTGTCAATTCGTAGTTCAACATTTAACAGATACAAAACTAAGTACACACAAGAGTTAAAAAGGAGCAGAACCCGAGGCGGACCGAGGAGAGAAAATACCCAGACAGACCTACAAATACATGGAGTCACCTACCGAAAAGAGACGACCAAAGAGACAAATGGACGCGGGGGAGGGGGTGTGGAATGAGGGTGGATATCTGCAGCAAAAAACCTAAAGGGCTCGGAATGCGTTAGAAGAAGAGAGGGACAATCCGATTCAGTCTCAAAATATTTACCCTAAAATTTTATGGGAAGCACATATTAGCTGCAACAATTGCTGATTAAGCATCGATGGTTCCTTGTGTGGTTAGCGTATTTTTGCCAGTCTCGTTTTTCTTAAAATAAAAATATAAAGTACGGAAGGCGTTATCTGAAGGCCTTGCCTTGTCTTGTTTTGCGAAAAACATTGAACCAGCAGCACCGAAGGGGGAGCTTTTGATTATAATTGTGACAAGGTTATTTGCACCTTATAAAATGACTTAACAATGCTCGCCCCTAAGTAGCCCTGAAAAGGACTCTTTCAGTGTTGATAAGATCGAAAGAGACGGACCCAAATACGGTCCCGACCTACGACAAAGTCGTCTACTGGCCAGCCAATAGGCGACCCGGTCGCAGATGGTCGAAGAGGGCGTAAGCCTTTATACGCACGCGTACTATGAGAGGTACTCATTTTATAGAGGGAGTTAGCTCAAGCGGTCTAAGCATTGTTCAAGCGCATACTACACATTTTTCTGTTCGGCAAACAGATATAATAAATTGTTCGAAATCTTCTTCTTCTTTACGTACACTGGCTGAAAACTCCGGGAGAAAGTTCTGGTTGCCAGTCCACATCCAGAGTTTAGTATTGTTGACTTAAGTGTTGCGTGCACATCCGTTTAATAGATCTAGCTTTCTTGAATGTAGACTGTTAGTTTCTTAGGCAGATGCAGTCTGACTTCAAAGGATGTCCCTAGTTAGTAGATGTCCACCACGGTTGGCCTGTTCTTGTTTCCCCCCCCCCCCCCCCCCCCCCACCCCAATACGGCTTTGGAGCCTTCACAAAAAAATGTTGAAAATAATATTAAATATATAAATGAATCCTTCAAAAAGATAACTTGTACAAATGGTTGATGGAGGGGGCGCTTAACCCCCTTACGAATTTCCCACGGAAAGGGGGGTGGGCAGCTTAAGGTGCCTGAGCTTCCAGATGCCGGCCAGCGCCCCCGTGGTAGGTATGAGCTGGCATTGGGGGCCAGTGATGATATTCGTCATTGCCGAGACAGCTGCGCATCCTAGTCAGTAATGTCTGTGACTACTGTCGAATGGTGCCCAACGGAAGGCCAAACATTCCAAAAGAGCGGGACGAAATGAAAAAATGTGCAAGTCAAATCCTGCTGGGTAAGTTGAGCATGGAGACGTTGTGATGGCTGTAGTATCGGAAGACGGAGCACGAATGGTTCGGACTGATGTGACAGGATATCGATTTGGACAAGTAACAAGACTAGAAGGATCTCCGTTATGTGTGAAGGGGCGTTTCACAGGCTATCAGTGTAGGTTCTAGGGCCCTATGAGGTGGGGGGGGGGGGGGGGGGGGGGGAAGGAGACACATTGCTCCCTAACAATCATGTTGTCAACGTCGACTATTTAGGGGTGTTGTCTTCGAGGTCGGAACGCGTCTGCCTGATAGGCAAAGAATTACCGGTCTGCGTAACGGATTTGCACGCAAAAATCAAATCTTGAATAAGACTAAAGTCCAAAATGGACGAGCAGCCAAAACTTTGAGCTGGAAAGCATGTAAACGCAAAGAAGAACAAGAAGAAGTAGTATTAGTAGTAGTAGTAGCAGTAGCAGTAGTAGTAGTAGTAGTAGTAGTAGTAGTAGTAGTAGTAGTAGTAGAAGTAGTAGTAGTAGTAGTAGTAGTAGTAGTAGTAGTAGTAGTAGTAGTAGTAGAAAAAGAAGAGTTTTACGACCCGTCGTTTAGTACACGAGTGCAGCTTTTTTTTCAAATGGGAATGGTCGCTGGAACTACGGAGTGCGTGCCTTATGCAATATCTTCAGTATGTGGCTAGCCTTTCTGCGGAAAAAGTCGATCCTGTTAACTTTAACTTCAGTACATGGGAGACCATCTGTGGTCCTAACGATGCTTCATGAAGGCTAAACAACCCACTTCAACCATGTACAGACATTGTCTTTAAAAGTACTATTTGTTCACTTTTCATGATATTTCAAATGTAATATTATATTTACTTACCACTCATCACGGCATCATCATCATCATCATAATCGTCATCATCATCGTCATCATCGTTGTTGTCATCATCATCTTCTTAAACTAGGATGAGCCCTTGGAGGCAACTTTTTGTTTTTTTAGCAATATGTTAGACGGTTAGCTGTCATTAGTAATGAATAAAATAAGAATCGAAATCGTAGCACACCGAGTGTGTTCGTACTCTCGCAGCAGATGTCTTAAGGTGTAGATGCTAACTGATCCCGTAGCACACTGATTATACACACGTCATTCTGTACCTTGTATACGTCTGTCCTTGACAGAGCCACTCGTAATTCATTGTTCACACATTCTTACACGTTATCTCATCTAACCTCGTGTCTTCTGTCATCATTTGTTCACAAATGTTCTCAGAATATCTCCTTTGTCCAGAATACGTGGTCGTGTAGCTATCGCTCGTGTAGCAAGACAATCCGCTCTTTCGTTCCATCACATTCCTGCATGTTCATGAGAGCTGCTGCAAAAGGCTAGTTGCGTATCCTTTACAGGATGTTGCAGAACCAACCCCAACAGCCCCTGGCTGTTGTATGGTTTTTCTAGGCAAATTACTCCAGTATTTTGCCATTGCTACTGGACGGTCGGCTTTCTTTATACCACTGTCAAAAGCAACGCAAGGCGCATGGCCTGCAGCTGAGATCGAGTTCACGAGAGCACACCCACGTAATTCCCTGTAATGTTGACGTACTGATACTTGGTATCCACTCCTGCCACGTTTGTTCATTTAGAACCTTTCACAGTACCTACCAAGAATCAGACATAAACATTCTTCTGGTAACTCTGTTTTCTGCTATTCACCTCAGAGCTTCAGGGATTGCCACCACCTCCATCCTCATGCTTGAAGTTGTAGATTTAAAAAAAGGGCCCTATTTAGTTCTGCCTTAATGTTAGTTTAAACTATGTGCCAGGATTGTCCCTAATGTTAGTTTAAATCACGTGTCAGGATTGTCCTTAATGTTAGTTTAAATCATGTGCCAGGATTGTCCTTAATGTTAGTTTAAATCATGTGTCAGGATTGTCCTTAATGTTAGTTTAAATCATGTGCCAGGATTGTCCTTAATGTTAGTTTAAACCATGTGCCAGGATTGTCCTTAATGTTAGTTTAAATCATGTGCCATGATTGTCCTTAATGTTAGTTTAAATCATGTGCCAGGATTGTCCTTAATATTAGTTTAAACCATGTGCCAGGATTGTCCTTAATGTTAGTTTAAATCATGTGCCAGGATTGTACTTAATGTTAGTTTAAACCATGTGCCAGGATTGTCCTTAATGTAAGTTTAAATCATGTGCCAGGATTGTCCTTAATGTTAGTTTAAATCATGTTCCAGGATTGTACTTAATGTAAGTTTAAATCATGTGCCAGGATTGTCCTTAATGTTAGTTTGAATCATGTTCCAGGATTGTACTTAATGTTAGTTTAAACCATGTGCCAGGATTGTCCTTAATGTTAGTTTAAATCATGTGCCAGGATTGTCCTTAATGTTAGTTTAAATCATGTTCCAGGATTGCCCTTAATGTAAGTTTAAATCATGTGCCAGGATTGTCCTTAATGTTAGTTTAAATCATGTACAATTCACATTGTCAGTCTCAAGATGACGCTTCACTGGCAGCCGATGCTGAGAGCCTGCATGAGTCAAAGTCGCTTTTAAAAACCTCAGTCTTGGAGGTCGAAGCTGATCGCGTTAGTAAAATCATCCCACAAGAAGATGTGCCGAGCAACCTAAAGATTCCAGTTACAGGTAAAAAAACTATTAGACGTATCAGATCGACCTAGCCTACAAGTATTAACATGAAATATTCTGGAAAGTAAATGCGGCCGGCAGGAGGTTGATCACACACCGATCTCTGTTTATCAAAATATGGACCAAGCACTGAATGCCTAATGCTCCAGTGGTGTCAAAGGGTTCTTTGTTGTGACTTTTTAAAATAGACCCATTGTTTTTAGGCCGTACGTGCTTTTCCTCGTCTTGCCAGGTTATGCGGGTGTTCAGGGGAACGAGCATGCAGACTATTTCGCTGACATTGCGGTTGCTATGGCTGGTCCAGTACTGGATAGAGGTGATGTTATCAATGCCGTGCGCTACACTTACCGTACCGGGGAGCACGCCAAAGGACTCCTTATTCCTGTCTAGACTGGTGGACATGGGGGTGCAGCCTGGAGCTGCAAGAAATGAACATTTCACTAAGGGGATAGGACGTTTCATTAACCAACACCCAACGGGCGTCATCAGTCATTTTACAATTGTGGAGCTTTAGAGGAGGAGATCGGAGCACTTATGGATCTGTCCGGAGTGCTGTGAGGATATTCCTTACTAATCACTAATCACTTTACCTAGTCTCCAGGCGTTCCTGGGCTTCCGATCAAAAGGGACGATAGGCCTGGCCACTGTTCTTAGTCGTGGCCATTTTGTTGGGATGCTTCTGACAGACGGGGGTTGTTGCATTTTCCCTCCGTTTTTAGACTGAAAGAATATAGTTTTGTCGCCCAGCTACCGATTTGAGTGCATGGCACCACACTATGAGCTGCGGATTTCATTTGGAATGGTTTTCGTGTGTGATGTTGTCAGCTGCAGATTCAGAAAATCGCGCATGGCCTGTTGCCACAGTATTGATGGTTCCTTGTGTGATTAAAAGTAATCGTGTATGTAACTGCAGATCTGCTCGTAACTGCTGCTTCCGTCGATTATGAACTGCATTTCTTATGTCAGACTGTTTGTGTTAGTAGTTCTAATGGTTGTCTTATACTTTTAGTGTATGTTAGTGGATATGTTGAAACTGCAGCATATGTCAATTTTTCCACAAGTGACAGTAAAGGACGTTATGTTTTTGTGTGTTTGTGTGTGCGTGTGTGTGTGTGTGTTGGGGAAAAGGGGGGGGGGGCACAGAAGCGGTGCAACTACAGGGTGACCTTCTGCTATGAAGCTGAAATTAAGATTACCGAGATCAGGCGTTTTGGGGCGTATAGTGCTAGACCAATGTAGTAGACGCACTGTGATGAGTACCGGCACCTTGTTTACACCTTTTGTGGTGAGTACCGGCACCATGTTTACACCTTTTGTGGTGAGTACCGGCACCTATATTTCGGGAAGAAAAAGCCCTGATGCCAGTCCCATAAGCTAACAGACCAAGTGACATTCGGTGGGTGATGTGGTCAATATCATGCCAGCTGTTTTTACTTCCCACAACATTTCCCAGTATCAATTTCAGCCTGGGTCAACATGGGAATCCTAAACGATAAAAAAAAAAATCTGCCTTGATAGAGAATTTAACCTATAGTCACCGCTCTGGCAGCTTGCGTACTAGCAACGGTTACACATACGCTAAAGGTAGTTGCAGGCATACATCCTTTTATATTAGTAGATAAAGGCCTCAAGACGTTTCAGTGGCAAGGTATGATCAATTCGCACGTGTAAGCGTTAGCAGGTAAAAAATTACACTGGGGATGTTATCACGTGATATTTTCCTCTTTATCGTTTAGCTGTTAAGAGAATTTGTGTGCATCCAGCATTGAAGGATTAGGAACTGGTAGCTTTCGCGCATTACAGTTTCTCCATGAGTGGCGTAGGCATCGGCACGAATTCTTTTGGCCACGTTCGAGACGCAAACCGAGTGACTTATTTCTAGTAAATAGTAATGACAAAAAGTAAAATAATGCATTTTTCTTTGTCAGGGGAAAGTGTAAATGGGTGATTACATCCGTTACACCCATGCATCGCCACTGGATCTTCTCAATTTTAGTTGCAGAAACAGTTTTTTTCTTCTAGAAAACAGTTTAAAAGTTCTAAAATAATGCAAACTCTAATTATTACAAACATTATATTCATAAATCATAATTGTATGAAATCGCATACATCTGAGCAGGAGCTGGTTATTTGTTAACTGACATAACACACATTTATTTCCACACCACACACAATGTGATATCTCAAGCACGCGCCCTGTTAGGTTGCTTATTTCTAGTAAATTACAGAAAGTTAAAGGATGCATTACATTATGTCATTGCTCCAATCCAGATTTATTCTTCTTCTTTGCGGTCACCAGCTGTAAACTCTGGCGGAAAGTTCTGGCTGTTCACCCACTTCTGGACTACAGTCCTGATGCGTGTGCATCCGTTTTACAGATCTGACTCACTTGTATGCAGACTGCTGGTTCCTTGCCTCTCAGACAGATGCACTCCGACTTCGAAGGAAGCTCCCAATTAGTCGACTCATACGACATGCTTTTGGGTAGGCAGTGGGTCTATTCTTGTTTCCCCTATAACAGGGCCCTGGAACCCACTCGAGGAAATCCAGATTTGTAACCTGCTTATTTATTTCAGTTTCTAACTTTCTACAAATTCATCTGGGTTCATCTGGGTAAAGTTTTGACATCACAGCATTCAGGACAAAGCCATACGAGCTGCGTCTCTTTTCTTCTTAGCCAGCGAAGACTTTTCACACCAATGTTGCCTGTTGTCATCTGGTTTTACTATTCTTCTTGTCTCTTCCCCGAGTCTCAAGTGACGCCCAGAACCCACACACACTTCCCGTTGCAACACTCTCTTCACGTGCCTTGTTTTCGGTATCTTACATTTTACTCCTACCTCGCCTCACAGGCGAGAGATCACCTCAGCCTTGTGCAGTTGCAGTACTTTCATCAAAATGAATACCATTGATTTTAAGGTAAAGTCGTGAGATGTGAACCAGCGTCACTGCACACGTTTATAAACCATAGGTGCTCTGCCACCAGTACGGATAGCTGATAATAAACTGTCCGCCTGTGTCGCCGTCCGCACGCAACTCCGTACCTACAGCGACATTCCTTCATTTACCCCCGAGTTTTAACTCTGGTACACATTACCTAGAGGCTGGGTGAACCCTGGGAACCTTTTGGTTCCGAACACCGACAGTGGACTGCAGCGAGTCGCAGCTGGATTTGAAAGCGTCTCCTATCGACTGTGCTAACGCGGCCCCACCATTGATTTTATTGATACATTTATGCAGGCTCAGTTCCTCTGAGTTTTTTTGCTTTCTGAACCCGTTGAATACATTTACATAGTTCTCCTCTCAATTAGTAGTTCATTAGTGATTCTACTATCCCTTTTAATTCCTTCTTCTTTTGCTCTTTGTCCAACATCGGATAGAACAGTAAACCTGGAAGACTAAAAAAAAAAAAAAAATTGTTGAGAAAGAAAAATAAACTTAGTAGATTAAAAAATTAGGGTTGGGAGCTTACGGTTAAAACACAATCAGGGTGCCGGTCAGTCGCTATTTTAACAGGACACAGGCGAAACCGGAGCAGTTGTCTTTGACATTGTCTCTTTTCACACACGCCGGCATTTTGTCGGTGCCGTTTGTTAATGCTGCAGGTTTTTAGCCACGTAGAAAAATGTGTGCTGCACTCAGCAAACCGTTACTTTGTTGGACTTTTGAATCTTAGAAGGGGACCTCTGAACTTGGGGCTCAGGTCTCTTGAACTCCACTCCACTTTAAGAAAAGTATGCATGCTGGAGAACATTAGGCGAGGAGAGGAGTGGGTCAGAGAACCAGAGGAAAAGTCTGACCTGTGTAAGGTTATGGTCACATTGGGGCGGGTGTGCATGGAGTGGCCAGCGGGTGCAACGGAGGTGGAAGTCCAACAGTTGATTCACGACAATTCACGTCCAGGTGATCTGATTATCTATACAGATGGTTCGGTGTTGAGAGGAAAGAGAAGTGCCTGGGGGTTAGTAGCGAAAGCTAATGGAAAAATCTTTAGTGAAGACAGCCTAGCAAACGACATCCCAACATCTAGCATGAGAATCGAGGTGGAGGCGGTAACTGCAGCTCTCCGGTGGCTAGAGAAGAAGATGTATACACGTGTTGTAATTGTAATAGACTCTAAAAGCATGCCGAGAAAGGTAAAGACAAGGATGCTTTGAGCAGAGTGGCAAGCTTCAGTGGGAAGGTTACGGGTAGTGAGCAAACTTTGGATCTTTTCTCTAGGCAATGCCGACTTGTTGGGTAATGAACAGGCACACAGATTGGCTGGATCTGTACCTCTGGGTGGTGAACTGATACATGACAAGGCAGATGTGTTCAAGGCCCTTTGGAAACAAGCAACTGAATCAGTAGAGAAACAAGATTATGGCCTTGAGAGAATGATTCACCTGGGTGTAACCAGAAAGTCGGGCTGGCTCACTACACTCAGAGGAACGGCAAGACGGACATATAACCAGATTGTGACCAGTAACATCAGTATTGGAACTCTGCGCTGGCTGATGAAGATGAGGACAGAGCATGTATGGAAATACCCCGAGTGCTGTGATGTCAATTCTTGACTCAACTCAACTCAACTCCACTATAATTTTGTATTACGGGGCACCCTTTAGCCATTTATAGAAATTCATCTTTTAAAGGTATTTGTTAATGAATTTCATGTTATTTGAAATACAGTAGTATTTTACTTTCCACTAAGCACAGTAAAAATAATAATAGCAGTGGTAGTAGTAATAGTAGTAGTAGTAGTAGTAGTAGTAGTAGTAGTAGTAGTAGTAGTAGTAGTAGTAGTAGTAGTAGTAGTAGTAGTAGTAGTAGTAGTAGTAGTAGTAGTAGTAGTAGTAGTAGCAGCAGCAGCAGCAGCAGAAGCAGTAAAATGTTGAGTGATAAATGAATATATAAGTTACTTGAAACATAGGCGCTGAAACCTGGGGTTAAAGCATCTTGAGGCTTTCCCCCGCGCCCCCTTCCCCTAAAATAAATTATTATAGCAGGCTGATCACCCCTGTCGGCGTCTGTGGCTTAAGCGTTGCGAACGCGCTTCGTAATGTCGGGGTGCCGGGTTCGAGCCTTGCTCCTTGGGTTGGTTGCGACAGCGGTATCGAAAGTCGACCGTCCAGAAGAAATGGCAAACTCATCATAATGTAGCAGGTCCTTTGCAGAACGTCGCTCTCATCAGAATCTGCCTGAAAAAACTAAGTCTCTCGCCAGTTTTCCCGCCTCATGTACTTTCACACTCAAGGAGTCACTTATATCCTGTGCCCATCTTCGTGTTGGTCGGCCCCTGCCCCTCCTCCCTGGTACCATGCGTTTCGCTATAATTTGTTCCAATCCGTCGTGGCGCTTGATGTGACCAAAATATTTCAGCTTCCGAGACAGGATGCTGTTTATTAGCCAACCTTCCTTGTTCAGATCTTTCAAGATGTCAGTATTTCTCCTCTTTTCTTTGTCCAAGATATTCTGAGAATCTGTCTATAGCATTTCAGCTCAAAAGCCCCTATTCTCTTTCTTAAGGACTGAGAGATAGTCCACGACTCACATCCGTATGTTGCCACAGGAAAGATGCATGCTCTTAAAATTCTAATTTTGATCTTCTTGCTGGTGCTTAACCATAGACTTTTAAGGCTGTTCAATCTTTGCATTGCTATGGCCATCCTCTTTTTAATTTCTCTCAAACAGTCTCCATTGTTGTTTATTAGAGAGTCTAGATATTCAAAGTTTGTGACATTTTCAATTTCTTCATTATTTATTGTTATTTTTGGGTGACAGCCAGTTTTATCTGTGGACATTACATTCGTTTTCTTTAAATTCAAGAACAGATTTTGATTTTCACTGTGCTTTTGGACAGACAATATTAAATTTTCTATTCCCTTTACGCTGTTCGAAAGGAGGACTGTGTCATCTGCGTAGCCAAGTTCCGGAATAGGGTTGCCACCAATTTTAAGGGGATCATAACTGTCACAAGTCTGGCCATTTTTAACATTTCTCATATTTTCTGCCTATATAGCGAATAGGTATGGCGAGAGAATGCACTCCTGCCCATGATGAGTTTCTTGGGATAGTAATTTGTTAGTTTCCCATTTCTTTCCACATCTACATGGCTTTAGACTACGTCCTCAGTCTTCAGCAACCTTTTCGATTGCTAGATCAAGTGAGTTTCCTGCTCTGTGATGCTCCTGCTAACAGCAGAGGGCACCCCAGAGGTGTCCACTTATCCTGGCGGATACTCGGTCCCCACCGCAGTGCAGTGTGTTTACCGTCCTCTACCGCGAAGAAGACTGTGGCTGCTACAAAAGACTCGGTAAACATGATTGGCCGACCACCAGGAGATTACATTGGATCAGTGGAGGCCCACTAACCACAGGCTGAAGAACACTGATGTAATTGATATACAGATACGACAGCAGTAATGATATGATGATACACTTTATGTCTTACTGCAGCTGAAGACACTGACCAAGAGACGCAAGAGGAAGCTACAACATTAGTGGGGCAGTTAGATGGTGAGTAAACAGATGGACAAAGCAAATTGGATTCTCTAACTGACTTTTCAAATAATGACTATTTTATTATCCCCTGTGGGTTTTAGGTCCTTATTGTAGGTAATTTAAAGACAAGATCCACTGTCTCCCAAACAAGACCTGTAGGAGTCAACTAACTAGGAGCTTCCTTTGAAGTTGGAGTGATGTGCCAGAGAGGCAAGAAACCAACAGCCTGCATACACAAAAGCCAAATCTGTGAAATAGATGTGCACGCAACACTCAGGTTCTGGAACAAGACTAAAGTCCGAATGTGGGCGAATAAGCATGTTGTAAAAGGCGACTACTGAAGGACTTGCTTAAAAAATGATGTTTTGGACCGACATCGCAGCCTAGCCGTAAACCATAATACATAATAGTGACCGTCCTTTTAAGCGCGAACACAGATAAAGAAAGAAGAATTATGACACAAATACCACTGCTTATCTGTGTCGGGAGTTTTGCTGAGGAATAAATAATTAGGCTAGGATGTTTTATTAATTTATTCAGTGCTTCACCATACACTCAACAAGTACGTGTAAAGGTAAAGTCGGGATATTTGAACCAGCGTCATTGCACACGGTTATAAACGATAAGTGCTCTGCCACCAGTACGGACAGCTGAAACGAAACTGTCCGCCTGCGTCGCCGCCCGCATGTAACTCCGTAGCTACAGCGACGTTTCTCCACTCACCCCAGTGTCAACTCTGGTACCCATTTCCTAGAGGCTGGGTGAACCCCGGGAACCGCCCGGTTTCAAACAACGACCATGGGTGTAGCGAGTCGCAGCTGGATTTGAAAGCGAGCACCCGTGTACGTGTAAGTTTCGACTAACGTGATTCAATGTTCTCAGTGTCAAAAACACCTTATCCAATTTTACATGAACCGCCACACTGCTTCTTCTTCTTCGCATTCACCGGTTGCAAACTCTGACGAAAAGTTCTGGTTGTTCATTAACCTCTGTACTTAAGACTGATTCCAGAACATGGGTGTTACGTGCACATTTGTTTTACATATCGATTTATTTGTATGCAGACTGTTGGTTACACTCCTCCCAGGCTCCCAGGCAGAAGTACTCTGACTTCGAAGGAACCCCCCCAATTAGTCGACTCTTACGACGTGCTTACTAGGGAGGCAGTGGGCCTATTCTTGTTTTCCCTACAATGGGGCATCCGACTCCACACGGAGAGCAACACTACTCCTATGGCTATGTCGCCTCTTTCTGTCTTATAGTTAAGTTAATCAGTCAGGTGCCGTCTCCACAGTGACGGTTGGTCCTATTTTTTTCTTGGTTGTACACTCTCTTAGACTGATGTTCGTCCATCTCTTGATGTTTTTGCGAGGCTGATACAGACCAACCGGTACTCGATAGTTCGTATAAACCAATAGTCACCAAATGGGCGAAGGATAATGTATGTACAGTGGAACCTCGCTTAACGAGCATAGTTCGTTCCAGAATCATACTCGTTAAGCGAAACACTCGTTATGCGAAACCATTTTTCTCATATAAACTAATGTAAAATACGATAATGCGTTCCATGTCGAAAAAAATACTCACACAATGTTGTGTAAAACGTTTATTCACAGAAAATTATCTACATATTGTTAAGGAGAGTTAATAAGCTTCATATTTTCTTCAAACGCGGAACGAACCCAACTGGAATGCAAATTCCATTTGCAGAAAAGTAAAGGAAAAAAAGTCAAAATAATTATGATACATAGCTTATTATTTTTTTACTAGAAAAATTTTCAGAGACATTTGTTTTTGTCGACGCTTCAAAATTTGGCGAAAATGCGACACAGCATTATCATTAAATAAATTTGCATTGCGCATAGCCACTTCCTTATTAGGGTGATGCTTCTCAATGTAGTTTCCCATGCTTTAATCCTTCCTTTAATTCGCCAGAAGATTGTTGCTTTTTCTGTTACCTCCTCCTCCTCCTTTGACAAACTTTCCTCCAAGCCGTCTTGCTATGAAACACAATGCAACTCTATAAGCTCTTCGGTGGCCAACTCTTGGCTGTGCTCTTCCGCAAGCTCTTCGATATCACTGTTATCCACTTACAGTCCTATGATAGTTGCAAAAGACATAATCTCGTTGACTACAGGTACCATAGATATTGTCTCGAACCCTTTAAAGTCACATTTGACAACGCTCTCCGGCCAAAGCTTCTTCCAAGAAGAAGTTAGGGTTCTTTTGGTAACCCCTTCCCTCGCCTTGTCGGTCATCTTGAGGCAGGCAACGATGTGGAAGTGGTCTTTCCAAAACTCTTTGAGAGTGAGGTTGGTCCCTTCAGTCACTTAAAAACAATGCTCAAAGAGTGCTTTAGTGTAGAGCTTCTTAAAGTTAGAAATAACTTGCTGGTACATGGGCTGGAGTAACGGAGTGGTGTTGGGAGGCAGAAACTGGATCCTGATGAACTTAAATTCTTCAGGGAGGTCATCTTGTGGGCCTTGAGGATTCATGTACATATATCACAATATAACACACGTTTGAGAAAATGTGTGATCACAAGCGACACTACGATGCTACTGGATCAAGTGCTAAACACAGACTGATGTAACATGCGAACAATCCGGCACTTCCCCTTTCCTTGCCACTCGTTATGCGAAACGTCGCTCGTTAAGCAAATCATTCTTTTTCAATTTGTTTTGCTAGTTATGCGAATTACTCGGTATGAGAGGTGCTCGTTAAGCGAGGTTCTACTGTATATGGCACGATGACGTGGTCAGTATACAAAGCACGAGTTTGATATTCCGGAGATCTAACATTTACATGCACCATAACTCACCCACGCGGCGTCCGTGGCTAAGGCGTTGCGAGTTTGACTCGTAATCCAACGCACCGCGATCGAAATCTACGTGGGCTGCGTAGATTTTTATCGTGGTATGGGACGTCGCAGGTCGACCCAGCCTCAAATGGGTACCAGGATGGACTGTCCTGGGAAAGTAAAGACGGCTGGCGTAATGCTGACCACATTGCCGATTGGTCTGTAAAAATATGGGTGCTCTTCCCAAGTGCCCGATGCGCCTAAGGGCGTGTAAAGGGATCTTTACTTTTTTTTTAAATTTGTTTTTATAACTCACCCACCGACCCAAAACCACACAATCGGACCACACTGCGAGAAATGACAAAGACAGAAACATTAGGAAACCTCCTCTAGCATCTCACATGCATCATTGTGACATGCCTAACCCGTTCTTATTACAGGAGGACAACTATAAGACCGCTATGGCTAGACGCGAAATTTTTCAATATTTCGGATCCTTCCGAACACTGTTTTCAAAATTTTTTGGCAAAGTAAAATATTGAAAATTTTAAAACTTTAGATGTTGCGTTGCGTAAGCCAAGTTCGGTACCATATGAGACGCGCCTGGCTAGAGTAGAAGGAGCATGAACGAAGAAGACACCCTAAGAAATGCAAGGGCAGGAAGAACACACATGACTACCGGATAAGAAACGAACGGTCTGACTTGGAGGAAAGAAGCATTCAGCCCAGAGACGGCGTAAATAACAGAACTTTAGCCACAAAAGAGACGCAAATAAAACCGACCACAACTATAGCCGGAGACTGTTGGCAGCTTCGGCTAGCTAGGAGCAGTCTGAACGGGTCAAGTTTCTAATTTTTTTTTTTCTTAAAAGAACATGAACGTGGTCAGTATAAGCTGCGGTAGGTTATACACTCCACTTTTTGTGGACTTCAGGTTTCTCCGTGACCACCATGGGGCCTCATTACAACCTTACTGTTAAACAGGGTTTCTGAATTTGTACCGGGGTCATTCTTATCAGAATGGTGACTCGTGGGAACAACGGGCGTTAGTAGCTCAGTGTGCCTTCCTAGAAGGGTCCAACTACAACAACAGTATATGGATATATTAGGTTAAATCTCTTAGAGTTACATTTTTAATTAAAATATGAAAACTGAAAGGAATACCTAATTTCATGGGATCACAGGGGCAAGGACTTGGAATAGCCGTAAATTGGGCTGAGGAGGAGGGGGGAGGGGAGAAAAAATAGGGGGTGGGTGGGGTTTAGAACCAAATTCCTTTAGTTTTGTCAGACCAAACATAACATGATAACATACTGTGTATTGATTCGCTGAGTTGAGTTAGGAACCGATATGACAACCCTCAGACATTGCTATAGCCGCGGCAGCCACAGCAGCCAGCGAAGAGTTCCACTGCTGATGGTGCCAGTGTGTTGTGTGTTTTAATTGCGTTGCACGGGGACTAATTTATTACTCATATCTCGTTGCATGAAATAGAAACAGATTAATGTCCACGCTTTGAAATGTATCTGGCATAGAATGTTGGTCTAACAGAGTCCAGGAACCCCATTCAGAAGAGAGGGTGGGGTGGGATGGAGAAAAGACCCACCGCCACCCTAACAATTGTGTGGGAGGGCATTCCCCTGCCTCACTGCAATTTTTAAGGGGGGTGGAAGAGGAGGGGGGGGGGCAGAGGGATAAAAGCGATACTAATATTTATTGAAGCTTGCAGATGTGTGAATATGGGTGTAAATATGTGAATATGGGTGTAAATATGTGAATATGGGTGTGAATATGGGTGTAAATATGTGAATATGGGTGTAAATATGTGAATATGGGTGTAAATATGTGAATATGGGTGTAAATATGTGAATATGGGTGTAAATATGTGAATATGGGTGTAAATATATGAATATGGGTGTAAATATGTGAATATACTTGAAAATATGTGCACATGCTTGTAAATGTTTGAATATGCTTGTAAATAAGTGAATATGCTTGTAAATATGTGAACATGCTTGTAAATGTTTGAATATGCGCGTAAATATGTGAATATGCTTGTAAATGTTTGAATATGCAGAGGAAGTAATCGAAATCCGGTTTCTTTATTCAGCTGTACCAGGGGTAGAAGATAAAGTCGACAAGGATGTGAGTGCTACAGCCAACGAAGAAGTGAAGGAACAAGCGGACGAGCAGTCACAAGAGAGGGAACAACCAGAAGAAAAGGAACAATCAGGCGAGCAGGAACAATCACAAGAGAAGGAGCAGCCACAAGAGAAGGATCAATCACAAGAGAAGGAACAGCCAGAAGAAAAGGACGAATCTCATGAGAAGGAGCTATCACAAGAAAAGGAACAACTACAAGAAGAGGAACAACTGCAAGAGAAGGAACAGTCACAAACAAACTTAGAGATACCGAAACTAACTGTGGAGCAGGCGAAATCTACACAGGTAACGTTTGTTTACTAGTTGTATGCGCGTCTGACTTTGAAATAAAACCATATACAGTATGAGTTGGAAATATGGCTGCATGTTTACTTGGACATATGTTGTCTCCCAGCTACTGAGATAAGTGCTTTAGTGCTCCGGTGTGCCCGTGATGGTTTTGTGTGGTGAACCCACATAAAAACGGCAAGCAGCAAATTACACTTGGAAAGGCGTGTGTCTATACAGTGTTGCGTGTACAAATGACAGCTTTCGCAACTGGCTGATTTCTTCGACTCTGAGATGCAGTTCTGATGGCAGACTATTAGTGCTGATATATCTGACGACTGCCTTATGCATTTACTTTGCGTGTCCGAGTACTGGAAAAGAGCAGATATAGGTTGACCCATCTGTCATGAAGTTGGAACTTCGACTAATAACTAACGACTTTGACATGTTTAAATTCAAGACAGCCAAATACACTCCGATAGAAAGAAAACAATAAGGGTGAGGGGCTATGTCTAATTTCCGTTTCAAGGGAGCTTTGTAAGTCCATATTCTGGTTAAAGTGTGTAAAATAAATAATAATAATAATAATAATAATAATATTAATGTGCAGTATGGTACAAATTATAAAAATGTAATTGAAATAAGGGGATAGGCATTTCCTTCGAAGTGATAATGCATCTGCCTTAGAGAAGGGGAACCAATAGTCTGTATTCAAAAGAGCAAAATCTGTAAAATGGATGTGCACGCAAAACTCAAGTTCTGGAACAAGATTAAAGTTCAGAAGTGGACGAACAGCTGAAACTTTTCTACAGCCCGTAAACGAAAGAAGAAGAAGACGATGCAACCTACGTGCAAGGCTTTACGCGTGTAAGTTCATTGCGTAGTCTATTGGAGGGCGCGAGGTGTAGATCCCTTCGTCCTAGTTATGTCTTCTGAGAGACCAAAAATCCTCAGCTGCTCTTTCTCTATACGACACGAAGTGTTTTCTTCTACACAGGATGCATCCGGGTTAGCCGAAGAAGCCGCCTTGCCACTTGACAGTGCTGTGTCTCGATCGGTGGTGCATTCACAAGCCACTGACGTCACTGAAGAGCAAGAACCTGTCAAGTCCAGCCAGATCCAGCTCGTCACTACAGCGCCGGGTAAGGTGGATTCCTGACTTGACAGACTAGCAGTTACAGTGGCGGAGGATAGAAAAGAGCATTGTGCAGGAAGCCACGAGTGCTTCGATGTGCAGTACAGGATATGTTGACTGATGAAATAATGGACCGACTGACTGACTAACTAACTACCCGACTGGCTAACTAGTTGGCTAGCTGACCGACTGATTGATTTCAAGCTTATGACTGATTAGCTAGCGAAATATCTAACTAATTGACTGCTTTACTTACTGACTAACAAGCGGCCTAGCTAGCTGATAAGCCAGCTGACTGATTGACTTACTGACTGACTAACTAACTGACTAACTAACTGACTAACAAGCTGACTAGCTAGCTAATTAGCTAGCTGACTGATTGACTAGCTGACTGACTAACTAACTAATTGATGGACTAACTAACTGACTGACTAAATGGCTTACCTACTGGCTAACTGATTGGCTGACTGACCGACTAGCTAAGGGATTGCCTGACTGACTGACAGACCGACTCACAGCCTGAATGACTAATTGACTGACTGTCTATCTAACTAATTGACTGACTGACCAACTGACTAGCTAACTGACTGACTAACTAACTGACTGAGGGACTAACTGATTGACCGGCTGACGGACTGACTAACTAATAAACTAATTAGGGAATTGACTGACTGACTAACTGACTGACTGCCTGACCGATTGACGGCTAACTGACTGACTAACAGCATGCAAGTTAAGAATTCATACGCCAATACCACTATTTTAGTGTATTTGTATTTACATAAAGTTTACATAAAATGACATATGGTGTAAAAACACTAATTTACGCCCACACACACATATACATACACACAAACATACATACGTACGTACATACACACGTACGTACGTACATGCATACATACATTCATACATACACACACACACACACACGCACACGCACACACGCATACACATACACACGCACACACGCACACACACACACACACAAACACACACACACACACATACACACATACACACATACACACATACACACATACACACATACATACATACATACATACATACATACATACATACATACATACATACATACATACATACATACATACATACATACATACATACATACATACATACATACATACATACATACATACATACATACATACATACATACATACATACATACATACATACATACATACAAACGTACGTACAAACATAATACATACATACATACATACGTACAATGCGCAGTACAAGGTTATTAATGTCTTTTAGTCTCTCTTGCTCAAGCCTACCTCACTTTCACGTGGTGGACCCTGTTCTTCCCAGAAATCCAGTTGAAGGTTGGGGTCTTAACCCCCAGCGGGAAACTTGATTGGACAAAAAAAAAAAAAAATGAGGTAAAGGCGAAGAGATGAGCCTACTCTCCCTCTCAAAAGATCCTGAAGTATGAAGTACTGGGCCAGAAGGCTCAAAAACCACAGTACTACGCAAACCCACGCTATATATGTGATTACACCGTCGGACAAATTTAATGTTTGTGCTTGCTCTGTGAAGTTCCACCAGGCAGGTTCAGTACCGGGCTCTGGGCCTCGAAAGAATCCAGCTAATCGAGGACCTCCTAGACCGTCTTGTGGAGTCAGGAGACGGCGGAGGATAGTTACTGACCAAAACCAGTTAGACAGAAAAAGATCCCAAATTGCATTTTATCATAATGCACTGGGTCATCATTAAGCAGGCTGGCTAGAGCAAAAAGATGGAGCTGGAAAACATCCTCTATAAAAAGCATGTCAGTGTATGCTGCATCCAAGAGACCCATTTGCAGGCAGATCAGATATTTAAAGTGAGAGGCTACCAGTGCTTCAGATCTGACAGACAAGGCAGGCAGAAAGGAGGAGTACTTACCCTTGTGAAAAACAGTATCCATCCATGCGTGACGATGTCTTATATGGATGAAGCTGAGTTCCAACTCCTGCAGCTGAAGACAGACAAACTGGAATTAGACCTCCTCAACTACCGTTAAGTCTCAGCTCTGTGCCGGTACCAGATACCAACTTTTTTTGCAGTTGGAAACTTCAACAGTCATTCGCAGAGCTGGGGCTATATTCATCTCGACGATAGGCGTGAAGAGGTAGAAACATGGCAAGATGACCACTCTCTGATCCTGGTCAATGCTTCCTCAGATACTCCTATCTTCTACTCCAGAAAGTGGCAGACGACGTTATACCCAGATATTGCCTTCTTTACTCCAGATATATCTGGAATGATTAGCAGGGAGTTGGGAGACCAGCTGGGTGGCAGTGACCATCGCCCGATTTTTCCTACTGTTCAGAATGTATCAGTTAGTACAGGCCCAGTCATAACAAGATACAACTACAAGAAAGCCAACTGGGGCCTGTACAAACACAGGACAAGCACATTGTTGTCTGCTCTCTAGGTACAAAATAGGGATATCAATGCTATAGTGCACGATTTCAACTACAGATCGTACTGGTCTAGCACACTCTAGGAATGTTAAGAAGCAATGAATCAGGCTAGAAAGGATGTAGAATCCCAACCATCATCTGACAACCACACCAAATAGAAAAAAAGCCGTACCAGTGTTCCAGAGAATTAAACTTGAAGAAAAACGGAAAATATGGAGAAATAAAACAGCAGCTCTAAACCTTGAGAAAGATGGCAAGAAACTCTGGAGATTAGCCAAATCACTCAATAAAGAGAGTTTTTCTTCTAGACAAACAATCACGCTAAGTGATGGTGACAAAATCTTCAGAGAAAAACAAGCTGCAAATTTGTTTGCCAGAACATACAGTGTTGAAAGCAACCTGACCCTTAATGAGGACCACCAGAGAAATAAGGAAAGAAATACAAACAAATAAGAGACAGACAGATATTCCTGCCTCTATGAGGAAGCCATTTACCATAGGTGAGCTTCGAAATGACATCTCCAGGCCTAAGTTAAAACAGTATGCAGGTCCAGATATAATCAGCAACGAAATGCTGATCAACCTATGCTCAGCTGCTAAAGTAAAGCTGCTGGAAATTTTCATCATCAGTTAGGAGAAAGGTTTGATGCCTCAAGTATGGAGAGAAGCTATCACAATACTCATATTGAAAAAAAAAGGAACAATTAAGACCCAGGCTTCGAGCTATTGACCAATTAGTCTCACAAGCTGTGTAGGAAAGATATTGGAAAGAATTGTAAATTCAAGACTGAAATGGCACTTAGAATCTGAGCAGATCTTGGTGCCAGAGCAGGCTGGATTTAGGGAATGTCACAGCATAGAAGACCAAGTCATCTAACTGTCACAAGCTGTAGAGGATGCCTTCCAAGAGAAGAAAAACATCCTGACGGTATGGGCTGACTTCAGACAAGCCTTTGACAAAGTTTGGAAAGATGGTCTCATTGTAAAACTGAAGAGAAACGGAATCCAAGGAAACATGCTAAAATGGATCCAATCCTTCTTACACAACAGGAGTCAGTCTTGATGGCCAGCTGAGCAGAAAAGTGATGCTTCGTCAAGGAGTACCACAGGGAGGAGTTATCTCTCCAACTCTTTTTCTTGGTTATATAAATGACCTGGTGAAAGACCTCCTTACAAGAGTAAAGGCTGCCCTGTATGCAAATGATCTAGCACTCTGGTGTACTGATGAACACACCACAGTGACAAATATAAGAATGCAGCGAGCAGCAGATCTTCTAATGACATTGGCAGAAAAATGGCATGTTGCCATCAACACGGACAAAACATCAACAACGCTTTTCTCTATTTTCCCCAGGGAAAAAGCTGCTAGTATTCACCTAGGAACATCATTGCTAAAGGAAGAAAGCTTCCCCACTTATCTTGGAGTAACATTTAATAAAAGGCTCACGTAGAGCAAATATGTAGAAAATGTCGAAGGGAAGGCCAGGAGACGACTAGGCCTACTTAGAAAACTGCCAGGTACAGGATGGGGAGCGAATGGAAAAACCCTAAAGAAAGTTTATAATGGACCGTTAAGACCTCACTTGGAGTTTGATGCAACAGCATGGTCAACAGCTGCTAATTCCCATCTACAATGGATAGACAGAGTGCAAAATCAAGCCCTTAGACTCATCACATGATCCATGAAAACTGCACTAATCCTGGATATGCAGAAAATAACTGCAATGCAGACATTGTCCTATAGAATAGACACTAAAACTATGATCCAGATAGAGAAGTTTAATAGTATGCAGTCACATCCAATGAATGCAAGATTAGATGATCTGGCACTGGGCGTCTCAAACGTAGCAGCTTTGTCCATCGGGGAAAAGACAGAAGACAGTATCGAGCAAATCTGCCTATTATAACAACACTGCTGAAACCTACACTATACCCTGTACATTGGGAGCAAGTCAATGATACAATACAGATAATGACTTCAGTCAATGGATTCACAACTTGATATGAGCCCAATAACTTTCAAAAACGAACAACTGCTCTTAGCATGATTCATGAAAACTATACCGAACAGTCGTTGATACATGTTTAAACGGATGGATCAGCAACCAATGCTGTTAAAAATGGGAGTGCTGGGGTCTTTATTACACACACACAGGCGACCATCGCCACACAAATTATATGCCCTCTAGTAAATTCTGTTCCAACTACACAGCAGAGATCGTAGCACTAGAGTAAGCTGCCGACATGTTACACTACACCATTTCTGACTGCCACCAAGTGTTCATATTCACAGATGCGCTATCGGCGCTGCAAGTCTCAAGAGTGAACTCCCTCACCTGAGATTTGAACTAAGCAAGGTGGCTGCCCAGAAGCGTACTGTACTGCAGTAGGTGCCATCCCACTGTAGTATACCAGGAAACGAAACCGCAGACAAACTTGCTAAGAAAGGGGCAGAATGTGACCTGGAAAAGAATGCAGTAACATACTATGAACAGAAAACGGTCATCAAGGCTATTAGAATTGAACAGAGTCTAGCCAGAGATGACTACCACTTACTTGACCGGCATGGGCAGGTCGTTGTCCTACGCCTGAGGACAGGACATTATAAACTTAACCAGAATATTCACAGGCCTTGTCTTAGTAGTTCACCTTTTTGCCCTTGTGGGCTAGCTATGTATGCAGACTACAGAACATTACCTGCAAGAATGTCTCTTGTTTAACCCATGCATGCAATTCTGTTAGGTTAGTTGCGTATCCTTTACAAGACATTGCAGAACCAACCCCAACAGCTCCTGCCTGGCTGCTATGCGGTTTTTCTAGGCACATTTACGTCCAGTAGTTTGCCATTGCTCCCTGGACGGTCGGCTTCTTTGATACCACTGTCGAAACCAACGCAAGGCGCATGTCCCGCAGCTGGGGTCGATCCCGGCATCCCGGCATTGCGAAGCGTTCGCATCGACTTAGCCACAGAGCCGACTTGCAATACTGTATGTGACTAAAAGATTCTAATTAAAAACTGTCAAGTTTATCACAAGAACCTGTCTGTCGGTGTAAATCAGAAGGCAACCACAAGAAGAAGAAGAAAAAGAACAGGAGGTGGTATCGAACACTCGTTTATAAATAAGGTAAGGCCCTCTCCTCTCTCTCCATTTTCCGGGAATGGGCTCACGGGGTTTGTGCCGTCAGTTTCCTCAGCCCTTGTGCATTAGCGCTTCTGACATACGATTTAACTCCCTTTATTTTGAGTAGACTCTGGCTAATGAATGTCTGATAAGGCCCTCTTCTCGCTCTCTCCATTTTCCGGGAATGGGCTCACGGGGTTTGTTCCGTCAATTTCCTCCGCCTTTGTGCATTAGCGCTTCTGACATACGATTTAACTCCCTTTATTTTATGTAGACTGGCTAATGAATGAATGTCGTTTACCAGTAACTGTTTTAGTTGCTAATGTAAAGTTATGTATTAACTTGCTTCCTCCTTCAAAATGACAGCAGACGAAGTGGCAGCAGAAGAAGATTCAGAAAAAATGACAGTCAAAGAAAAGCCAGCTTCTCCATCTCTAGAGGCACCTCTTGATACAGAAGAACGTTTCAGTTTTTCCACATCCGAAGAGATACCAGAAGAGAACATACCAGAAGAGGACATACAAACGGCGAAAGATAAAATACTCTTGAAACTTCACGTAGGTGCCAGTATGATACTTGACATGGTGTGAATGGTGATATCTGACTCTTGATGTGAGGGCCGATATCTGGTTGTTGACATGATGTGAGGGCCCATATCTGATTGTTGACATGATGTAAGGGCCGATATCTGGTTGTTGACATGATGTGAGGGCCGATATCTGGTTGTTGACATGATGTGAGGGCCGATATCTGATTGTTGACATGATGTAAGGGCCGATATCTGGTTGTTGACATGACGTGAGGGCCGATATCTGGTTGTTGACATGATGTGAGGGCCGATATCTGATTGCTGACATGATGTGAGTACCGATATCTGGTTGTTGACATGATGTGACAGCCGATATCTGGTTGTTGACATGATGTGACAGCCGATATCTGATTGCTGACACGATGTGAGGGCCGATACGTGATTGTTGACATGATGTGAGGGCCGATATCTGGTTGTTGACATGATGTGAGGGCCGATATCTGATTGCTGACATGATGTGAGGGCCGATCTCTGATTCTTGACATGATGTGAGGGCCGATATCTGGTTGTTGACATGATGTGAGGGCCGATATCTGGTTGTTGACATGATGTGAGGGCCGATATCTGGTTGTTGACATGATGTGAGGGCCGATATATGATTGTTGACATGATGTGAGGGCCGATATCTGGTTGTTGACATGATGTGAGGGCCGATATCTGGTTGTTGACATGATGTGAGGGCCGATATCTGGTTGTTGACATGATGTAAGGGCCGATCTCTGATTCTTGACATGATGTGAGGGCCGATATCTGGTTGTTGACATGATGTGAGGGCCGATATCTGGTTGTTGACATGATGTGAGGGCCGATATCTGGTTGTTGACATGATGTGAGGACCGATATATGATTCTTGACATGATGTGCGGGCCGATATCTGGTTGTTGACATGATGTGAGGGCCGATATGTGATTGTTGACATGATGTGAGGGCCGATATGTGATTGTTGACATGATGTGAGGGCCGATATCTGGTTGTTGACATGATGTGAGGGCCGATATATGGTTGTTGACATGATGTGAGGGCCGATATCTGGTTGTTGACATGATGTGAGGGCCGATATGTGATTGTTGACATGATGTGCGGGCCGATATCTGGTTGTTGACATGATGTGAGGGCCGATATCTGGTTGTTAACATGATGTGAGGGCCGATATCTGGTTGTTGACATGATGTGAGGGCCGATATGTGATTGTTGACATGATGTGCGGGCCGATATCTGGTTGTTGACATCATGTGAGGGCCGATATCTGGTTGTTGACATGATGTGAGGGCCGATATCTGGTTGTTGACATGATGTGCGGGCCGATATCTTGTTGTTGACATGATGTGAGGGCCGATATCTGGTTGTTGACATGATGTGAGGGCCGATATCTGATTCTTGACATGATGTGAGGACCGATATCTGGTTGTTGACATGATGTGAGGGCCGATATCTGATTGATGACATGATGTGTTTGTCGATATTCGATTTATGAAGCGACATGATTGTCGGTCTATGATTGTTGACATGTAGTGACTGCCGATATCTGATTGTTGACACGAAATGATTGGTGATCTATGATTGTTGACATGATGTGAGTGCTAATCAACATTAGGATGGCTGGTTTTACTTTCAGTCAGAACCAGATTTAAACTACATGAAGCTCTAAGTTGTATAAAGTCTTGAGGCCATCTTTGAATCCTTGAGTGGGTACCAGGTACAGTCCTGGAAAGTAAAGGCGGTCTAAATGATGTTGACCACATCACCCACAAAGTGCCGTTTGGTCTATAAAATATAGGTATAGCCCGATATGCCTAATACGCCTGTCAGCGTGGAAAAGGGTTGTTTACTTTATAATTATTATCACCACATGTCCGATTGGAAATTAGTCCTTTACTTTTACAGCTGTAACTGACAATAACTTTTACAGTTAACTGTAACTGAAAATTACTATTACAGTTAACTGTAACTGACAATTACTTTTTTACAGTTAACTGACAATTACTTTTACAGTTAAATGTAACTGACAATTACTTCTACAGTTAACTGTAACTGACAATTACTTTTACAGTTAACTGTAACTGACAATTATTTTACAGCTGTAACTGACAATTACTTTTACAGTTAACTGTAACTGACAATTACTTTTACAGTAAAATGTAACTGACAATTACTTTTACAGTAAAATGTAACTGACAATTACTTTTACAGTTAACTGTAACTGACAGTTACTTTTACAGTTGACTGTAATGTACAGTTACTTTTACAGTTAACTGTAACTGACAATTACTTTTACAGCTGTAACTGTCAATTACTTTTACAGCTGTAACTGTTAATTATTTTTACAGTAACTGTAACTGACAATTACTTTTGTAGTTAACTGTAACTGATAATTCCTTTTACAGCTGTAAGTGTCAATTATTTTTACAGGTAACTGTAACTGTCAATTACTTTTACAGTTAACTGTAACTGACAATTACTTTTACAGTTAACTGTAACTGACAATTACTTTTACAGTTAACTGTAACTGACAATTACTTTTACAGTTAACTTTAACTGACAATTGCTTTTACAGTTAACTGTAACTGACAATTACTTTTTTACAGTTAACTGTAACCGACAATTACTTTTACAGTTAACTGTAACTGACAATTACTTTTTTACAGTTAACTGTAACCGACAATTACTTTTACAGTTAACTGTAACTAACAGTTACTTTTACAGTTAGCTGAAACTAACAGTTACTTTTACAGTTAACTGTAACTGACAATTACTTTTACAGTCAACTGTAACTGACAATTACTTTTACAGTTAAATGTAACTGACAATTACTTTTACAGTTAACTGTAACTGAGCATTACTTTTACAGTTTAATGTAAATGACAATTACTTTTACAGTTAACTGAAAATGTCAATTAATTTAACAGTTAAATGTAACTGACAATTACTTTTACAGTTAACTGTAACTGAGCATTACTTTTACAGTTAAATGTAAATGACAATTACTTTTACAGTTAACTGAAAATGTCAATTAATTTAACAGTTAACTGTAACTGACAATTACTTTTACAGTTTACTGTAACTGACAATTACTTTCACAGTTAAATGTAACTGACACTTACTTTAACAGTTTAATGTAACTAACAATTACTTTTACAGTTAACTATAACTGACAGTTAATTTTACAGTTAGCTGAAACTGACAGTTACTTTTACAGTTAACTGTAACTGACAATTACTTTTACAGTTAACTGTAATTGACAATTTTTTTACAGTTAAATTTAACTGACAATTGCTTTTACAGTTAACTGTAACTGACAGTTACTTTTACAGTTAACTGTAATGTACAGTTACTTTTGCAGTTAGCTGAAACTGACAGTTACTTTTACAGTTAACTGTAACTGAGAACTGGTGGCCTTTGGTTTACAGTCTGCCATGGCTAAACAAGACGTGTTGCGTAGCAACAGCCTAAGCTTACAGAGCAAAATTTCGGAATTCTACAGAAAGAACAAATTAGAGTTTAAGCGGGACCATGACAAAAAGCCTGGCGTTAACGAGGAGACGTACCTAAGAACTCTAGGCAAGTAGTTTTGGGAGCACAATAACTTGTGTTTGATTTTTGTTGCCTTATGCATATTAAAAGAGCTGGTGGCAAGTTTGATTCTTGTTGCCTTGTGCATATTAAAAGAGATGGTGGCAAGTTTAATTCTTGTTGCCTTGTGCATATTAAAAGAGCTGGTGGCAAGTTTGATTCTTGTTGTCTTGTGCATATTGAAAGAGCTGGTGGCAAGTTTGATTTTTGTTGCCTTGTGCATATTGAAAGAGCTAGTGGCAAGTTTGATTTTTGTTGCCTTGTGCATATTGAAAGAGCTGGTGGCAAGTTTGATTTTTGTTGCCTTGTGCATATTGAAAGAGCTGGTGGCAAGTTTGATTTTTGTTGCCTTGTGCATATTGAAAGAGCTGGTGGCAAGTTTGATTTTTGTTGCCTTGTGCATATTGAAAGAGATGGTGGCAAGTAATAGGTGAGATACAGTACTTTCGATGGTACATGTCACGGGACAGTCAAATATTTCAGGGGGTGGTAGATTAGGCATATAGTTTTGGTTAGGGTTAAACTTAAGGTTATGGTTAGGTAAGCGCGGGAAAACCTTAGCCTTGGAAGAAACGCACTAAAGCACAGAAAAAAGAAAAAAAAAACACACACACACAAACAAATCCAGCTCTTACTACCCTCTAAAATATTGGACTGTCCCGAGAAGTCATTTGTGGTCGGCTAAAATGAAAGTACCGGGGATACTTGTTACAGCATGCATAGTATATTTAAAGAAGAGGAGATTCTCTTTACAATACACTTGTCGATTTATGTATAATGTATTTAACTAGGAGGAGATACTTTTTTAACAACATATTTGTAGATTTATGTATAATATATTTAACGAAAAGGAGATACTTTTTACAGTATACTCGTTGATTTACGTATACAATATTTAACAAAGGGAAGATACTTTTTAATAATATACTCGTTCATTTATGTATAATATATTAAACGAAAAGGGGATACTTTTTTAAACATCATTCTGGTTGATTTATGAATAATATATTTAACGAAAAGGAGATACTGTTTACATTATACAGTTTTTTAACTTTATATGACCACATCACGTTAGCTTAAAGATTTTGTAGGGAAATTTCAAGAACATCCCTGTGAAAGCGTCGTTAGACCCAAGAAAGGTTCGCGACCCACAGGCTGAGAACCGCTGAGTTATCTAAGCCTGTGCATATGCTTGTTTTCTTCTTCTTTCTGGCTAGACTCTCTTCACTACTGTTAGAGTGAAATCTCTGGCTAGACTCTCTTCACTACTGATAGAGTGACATCTCTGGCTAGACTCTCTTCACTACTGATAGAGTGACATCTCTGGTTAGACTCTCTTCACTACTGATAGAGTGACATCTCTGGCTAGACTCTCTTCACTACTGATAGAGTGACATCTCTGGCTAGACTCTCTTCACTACTGTTAGAGTGACATCTCTGGCTAGACTCTCTTCACTACCGATAGAGTGACATCTCTGGCTAGACTCTCTTCACTACTGATAGAGTGACATCTCTGGCTAGACTCTCTTCACTACTGATAAAGTGACATCTCTGGTTAGACTCTCTTCACTACTGATAGAGCGACATCTCTGGTTAGACTCTCTTCACTACTGATAGAGTGACATCTCTGGTTAGACTCTCTTCACTACTGATAGAGTGACATCTCTGGCTAGACTCTCTTCACTACTGATAGAGCGACATCTCTGGCTAGACTCTCTTCACTACTGATAGAGTGACATCTCTGGCTAGATTCTCTTCACTACTGATAGAGCGATATCTCTGGCTAGACTCTCTTCACAACTGATAGAGTGACATCTCTGGTTAGACTCCTTTCACTACTGATAGAGTGACATCTCTGGCTAGACTCCCTTCACTACTGATAGAGTGACATCTCTGGCTAGACTCCCTTCACTACTGATAGAGTGACGTCTCTGGCTAGACTCCCTTCACAACTGATAGAGTGACGTCTCTGGCTAGACTCCCTTCACTACTGATAGAGTGACATCTCTGGCTAGACTCCCTTCACTACTGATAGAGCGACATCTCTGGCTAGACTCCCTTCACTACTGATAAAGTGACATCTCTGGCTAGACTCCCTTCACTACTGATAGAGTGACATATCTGGCTAGACTCTCTTCACTACTGATAGAGCGACATCTCTGGCTAGACTCCCTTCACTACTGATAGAGTGACATCTCTGGCTAGACTCTCTTCCCTACTGATAGAGCGACATCTCTGGCTAGACTCCCTTCACTACTGATAAAGAGACATCTCTGGCTAGACGCTCTTCACTACTGATAGAGTGACATCTCTGGCTAGACTCTCTTCACTACTGATAGAGCGACATCTCTGTCTAGACTCCCTTCACTACTGATAGAGCGACATCTCTGTCTAGACTCTCTTCACTAATGATAGAGTGACATCTCTGGCTAGACGCTCTTCACTACTGATAGAGTGACATCTCTGGCTAGACTCTCTTCACTACTGATAGAGTGACATCTCTGGCTAGACTCTCTTCACTACTGATAGAGTGACATCTCTGGCTAGACTCTCTTCACTACTGATAGAGCGACATCTCTGTCTAGACTCCCTTCACTACTGAGAAAGTGACATCTCTGGCTAGACGCTCTTCACTACTGATAGAGCGACATCTCTGGCTAGACTCTCTTCACTAATGATAGAGTGACATCTCTGGCTAGACGCTCTTCACTACTGATAGAGTGACATCTCTGGCTAGACTCTCTTCACTACTGTTAGAGTGACATCTCTGGCAAGACTCTCTTCACTACTGATAGAGTGACATCTCTGGCTAGACTCTCTTCACTACTGATAGAGTGACATCTCTGGCTAGACTCTCTTCACTACTGATAAAGTGACATCTCTGGTTAGACTCTCTTCACTACTGATAGTGCGACATCTCTGGTTAGACTCTCTTCACTACTGATAGAGTGACATCTCTGGTTAGACTCTCTTCACTACTGATAGAGTGACATCTCTGGCTAGACTCTCTTCACTACTGATAAAGTGACATCTCTGGTTATACTCTCTTCACTACTGATAGAGTGACATCTCTGGCTAGACTCTCTTCACTACTGATAGAGCGACATCTCTGGCTAGACTCTCTTCACTACTGATAGAGTGACATCTCTGGCTAGACTCTCTTTACTACTGATAGAGCGACATCTCTGGCTAGACTCTCTTCACAACTGATAGAGTGACATCTCCGGTTAGACTCCCTTCACTACTGATAGAGTGACATCTCTGGCTAGACTCCCTTCAGTACTGATAGAGTGACATCTCTGGCTAGACTCCCTTCACTACTGATAGAGTGACGTCTCTGGCTAGACTCCCTTCACAACTGATAGAGTGACGTCTCTGGCTAGACTCCCTTCACTACTGATAGAGTGACATCTCTGGCTAGACTCCCTTCACTACTGATAGAGCGACATCTCTGGCTAGACTCCCTTCACTACTGATAAAGTAACATCTCTGGCTAGACTCCCTTCACTACTGATAGAGTGACATCTCTGGCTAGACTCTCTTCACTACTGATAGAGCGACATCTCTGGCTAGACTCCTTTCACTACTGATAGAGTGACATCTCTGGCTAGACTCTCTTCCCTACTGATAGAGCGACATCTCTGGCTAGATTCCCTATACTACTGATAAAGTGACATCTCTGGCTAGACGCTCTTCACTACTGATAGAGTGACATCTCTGGCTAGACTCTCTTCACTTCTGATAGAGCGACATCTCTGTCTAGACTTTCTTCACTACTGATAAAGTGACATCTCTGGCTAGACTCTCTTCACTACTGATAGAGCGACATCTCTGGCTAGACTCTCTTCACTAATGATAGAGTGACATCTCTGGCTAGACGCTCTTCACTACTGATAGAGTGACATCTCTGGCTAGACTCTCTTCACTACTGATAGAGTGACATCTCTGGCTAGACTCTCTTCACTACTGATAGAGTGACATCTCTGGCTAGACTCCCTTCACTGCTGATAGAGTGACATCTCTGGCTAGACTCTCTTCACTACTGATAAAGTGACATCTCTGGCTAGACTCTCTTCACTACTGATAGAGTGACATCTCTGGCTAGACTCTCTTCACTACTGATAAAGTGACATCTCTGGCTAGACTCCCTTCAGTACTGATAGAGTGACATCTCTGGCTAGACTCCCTTCACTACTGATAGAGTGACGTCTCTGGCTAGACTCCCTTCACAACTGATAGAGTGACGTCTCTGGCTAGACTCCCTTCACTACTGATAGAGTGACATCTCTGGCTAGACTCCCTTCACTACTGATAGAGCGACATCTCTGGCTAGACTCCCTTCACTACTGATAAAGTGACATCTCTGGCTAGACTCCCTTCTCTACTGATAGAGTGACATCTCTGGCTAGACTCTCTTCACTACTGATAGAGCGACATCTCTGGCTAGACTCCTTTCACTACTGATAGAGTGACGTCTCTGGCTAGACTCCCTTCACTACTGATAGAGTGACATCTCTGGCTAGACTCCCTTCACTACTGATAGAGCGACATCTCTGGCTAGACTCCCTTCACTACTGATAAAGTGACATCTCTGGCTAGACTCCCTTCACTACTGATAGAGTGACATATCTGGCTAGACTCCCTTCACAACTGATAGAGTGACGTCTCTGGCTAGACTCCCTTCACTACTGATAGAGTGACATCTCTGGCTAGACTCCCTTCACTACTGATAGAGCGACATCTCTGGCTAGACTCCCTTCACTACTGATAAAGTGACATCTCTGGCTAGACTCCCTTCACTACTGATAGAGTGACATCTCTGGCTAGACTCTCTTCACTACTGATAGAGCGACATCTCTGGCTAGACTCCTTTCACTACTGATAGAGTGACATCTCTGGCTAGACTCTCTTCCCTACTGATAGAGCGACATCTCTGGCTAGATTCCCTATACTACTGATAAAGTGACATCTCTGGCTAGACGCTCTTCACTACTGATAGAGTGACATCTCTGGCTAGACTCTCTTCATTTCTGATAGAGCGACATCTCTGTCTAGACTTTCTTCACTACTGATAAAGTGACATCTCTGGCTAGACTCTCTTCACTACTGATAGAGCGACATCTCTGGCTAGACTCTCTTCACTAATGATAGAGTGACATCTCTGGCTAGACGCTCTTCACTACTGATAGAGTGACATCTCTGGCTAGACTCTCTTCACTACTGATAGAGTGACATCTCTGGCTAGACTCTCTTCACTACTGATAAAGTGACATTTCTGGTTAGACGCTCTTCACTACTGATAGAGTGACATCTCTGGTTAGACTCTCTTCACTACTGATAGAGTGACATCTCTGGCTAGACTCTCTTCACTACTGATAAAGTGACATCTCTGGTTAGACGCTCTTCACTACTGATAGAGTGAATGGCCTTTTTCTTTCCAAAGTATGTTGCTGCATTTTTTATAGTTCACATTCTCTCCCTCTTCCCTCTTTTTTGCTAGTTTATCTGCTGTACCTGGTATACCACAGTGGGATGGCACCGACTGGTGTATAATACACTTTTGGACAGCCACCTTGCTAAGTTCAGATCTCAGATGAGAAAGCTAACCACTCCAGGGTAAAGGTCACCCTCAACAACTAATTTTGTAAAGAGGCAGGGACTTAGGGGGTTTAGGATTGGCAGATACTATACAATATTTGAAATTATACATGTATAAACAAAACTTTAAAAAAAGTACGTCTATTCTGGTTGGGGTCTTGCTCAAGTGCTTAATACTAATATGATACCTGGACTGAAAAATACTATAACACATTTGAAATTATACATGTTTAAACAAAACTTTTAAAAGACTACGTCTATTCTGGTTGGGGTCTTGCTTAAGTGCTTAATACTAATATGATACGTGGACTGAAAAATACTATAAAATATTTGAAATAATGCATATTAAAATAAAACTTTAAAAAAAGTTGTCTATTCTTGTTGAGGTCTTGCTTAAGTGCTTAGTACTAATATGATACGCCGACTGGCAAATACAGTAACATTTTTGAAACAATACATGTTAAAACAAAACTCTTTTTAAGAAAAAACAATTACGTCTAATCTTGTTGCGGTCTTGCTTAAGTGCTTAATACTAATATGAAACGCGGACTGACAAATACTATAACATTTTTGAAATAATACACGTTTAAACAAAACTCTTTAAAAAAAAATAACACCTATTCTTGTTGGGGGAGGTGTTAAAGAGTATGGGGTATTTTAGCTCCCTTACAAATTTAAGCGAGGTGGGTGACAAAAACAATGGGGGAAAATGACAAAAAAATGTGAGAACGCTCAACGACAGGAAAGAGAAATGTGCGAGAAGCTCTAGATATGTGTTTAAAAAAAAAAAGACGGGAGAAAGCTCAAAGTCGAAGTAGAAAATTACGCGAGAAATTTCATAACAGGAGCAGAAAAAGATGCGAAAAAGCTTTAGATATTAGTTTCAAAAAAAAAAAAAAAGACGGGAGAAAGCTCAAAGTAGGAATAGAAAAATACGCGAGAAAATTCATAACAGGAGCAGAAAAAGATGCGAGAAAGCTTAACTTATGGTTAGAAAAAGATAGCAGAAAGCTCAAAACAGGTATATAAAAAGAGACGAGAAAGCTCAACGTAAGAATAGAAAAAGACACGAGAAAACTCAAAGTAAGAATAGAAAAAGATACGAGAAAGCTCAACGTAAGAATAGAAAGAGACATGAGAAAGCTCAACGCAAGAATAAGAAAAGACGGGGAAAAGCTCAAAGTAGTAATAGAAAAAGACGGGGAAAAGCTCAAAGAAGGAGTAGAAAAAGATGGGGAAAAGCTCAAAGTAGTAATAGAAAAAGACGGGGAAAAGATCAAAGTAGTAATAGAAAAAGACGGGGAAAAGCTAAAAGGAGGAGTAGAAAAAGATGGGGAAAAGCTCAAAGGAGGAGTAGAAAAAGATGGGGAAAAGCTCAAAATAGTAAAAAAAAAAAAAAAAAAAAGACACGAGAAAGCTCAGCTAAGGTAAAGGCAAAAGCCTATCTCTTCTCGTCTTTAGTTTTCTTATCATATTTTATATTGAGTTACTTCTACTGTGTCTACAGCACAGCTCCAGAAACTGCGTGACATGGTACAAAGAGACTACAAGCAACGCCAGTCCTATATTAATTCTGTCAAACAGAGATGCCAACAGAAAAAGGAGCAGGTTGAAGTCGAACGAAAGAAATGGTTCACTTTGTTGCATAAAGTGGTTTACGGGGCCCTATTTAGCAACACCCGAAAACCAATACCCCCAAATGTAAGTGTAATTATAATTTACCGTTTACAGATGTTCGTGAATTCAGGTGAAACAGAAAAGAAACGAAAAAAAAAAAAAACCTTAACACTTTTTGTGTGGGTCGCACATAGATCATGCCTCATGGATTTTCTCAGCTATTAATGAAGTTAGCAGCATGACATATTGAGATTTACCGATTGTGTGTACAACATTACACCACTGGCCAAACCCATTGAAACGGAGCGCGATAGAAACCTATGTTGTAAGCAGCGAATTGTGATAGAATTTATCGTTGCAGAGAGGGAAAGTGTTGTGAACATTCACCAGCGCCTATGCGATGTGCCTGGAAGGTTTGCAATCGACCGGAGTACAGTCAGTCGCTGGGTTCAGAGAATCAAAGAGTAAGGAAGTGGAGATAGGAGCTGCTTGATCAGCCGTGCTATGGAGGTCCTGCTATAGCCACAAACGCAGAAATCTTGCCAAAAGTTGAGGTCGTTATTTTTACTCATGGGCGAATTCCTATTCACAACTACTAAGTCAGCATTAGTAGTGCGGATGCAGTTATAAAAACTTTTGGATTGTCCAAGTTTTGCGCAGGATTGTGCTTCGAAGTGTCCCAAAAGATCAGCGATTGCAAAGGAAAACAGTTTCTTCTGAATTGCTTAAGCGTGTCAAAGCTGGTATTGTTTCTATAAAGCAATCTATGTTCATATAGCAGTATACATAATATCAGTGAAGCCACAATGCGTTCTTAAGTGCTATACAGAACCAGTCATGATGCATAGAAGAGAATCTTGGACAGTCCAGACAGGAGGCGCGAGCGAACCAGTTGTGAAGGATTTGTCAGCGATCCGTCATTGATATATCGAAACATGTCTGCAGAGGCGCTGACGCAAGGAATCCATGGGGGTGTTTGGGGAGGGGGGGGGGTGCTCATCCCTTATCACATTTGTTGTGTTGTTTGACCACCACGAGTGATAAAGATCACTTTCATCCAAGTTAGTAATGATTAGTGATTATGAGTAGGAAGGTGGTTGATTAGTCCAACATGAGCCTGGAAAGGGTGAAAGTGGTTTTGGCAAGAAATTGGATTTAAGTGAGGAAGAGATGCGCAGTCCGTCGACCTCACTCTCTCTTGACTGTCCACCTTGATTCAATGACGACAATTTGCAGACATTTGCTAAGGATGTCTGGCGGTGGAAAAGGAGTTAAGGAAGGTGGGGTTGGGGGGGGGGGGGGTGGATTGTCCTTTTTTAAGTGCTAAAAAAAATGTGCTAAGCGGTAAATAAATGTAATAATATACATAAACACACAATAAAAACTCACCACAGTAATACTCTTGCGGAGAAGGTGGAAAAAAACGTGTACGGTTTGTGTACAGACTAAACAATAACAATGAAAGTTACACATTCCACACGATTCCCAACAGCTATGACCCTGACAGTGTGTATGCGCTATTGCAGTATGCTTGGTATAAAAAGGCTGATGAGACCTAGTACATAATACATGTGCTTGCAATGCTACGACTGTCTGAAAACGAACGCAAACGAGCCAGCAGTATGTTGGAGACGGGTATGAGCTTGCTGGTGATTGCCAAATTTCACGTTTCTATGAATTTTAAGGCACCATAGGCAGTAAACAAGCGGCGTTCGTGGCTTAGGTGTTGCGAGTCCGACTCGTAATTCCAACGTACCGAGATCGAAACCCACTGGGTGGATTTTTATCAAGGTATGGGGCATCGCAGATCGACCTAGTCTTAAATGGGTACCAGGATGGCTGTCCTGGGGAAGTAAAGATGGCCGACGTAATGCTGACCACATTACCCACCTAGAGCCGATTGGTCTGTAAAAATATGGGTGCTCTTCCCATATTCCCGATGCGCCGCAAGGAGTGACAAGGGATCTTTTTTTTTTTACAACTTTACTATAGGCAGTAAACAGAATAGGCGTCAGAGTGGCACACCACGAGTTATTACCACTCCTGCACAAAGTCGGCACACTGTGCTGAGTCACTTAACTCTTTCAGTCCCAAGAAACACGTCATACGTTCATATGTTACTAATTTTGCAGATTGCTGTGTTCATCAGCACAACCGATTTGGAGGTGGCATTAATTACATTTGGGGAAGTATTCAATTTTTACCATCATCTGCCTCTTCATATCTTCCGTGAAGATGTTAATACTGCGACACTTCAAGATGAGGCTCTAGGTGCATCGGTTGCTCCTGCACTGACAAAATATCCAGACTTGCAGAGCAGATATCGTCAACGCTGTATAGACTGGCCTAGTGGATAAAGAGGAATCCCTGAAACACGATTGCGTGACATGGGAGTAAAGCATGGTGAAGCAGGTCTAAGCCGTCTTCGAGGCCCAGATAGGAGAGTGTCTAACCAGCTTCTCATGGGAACAATTAGTAGAAGTACTTTGGAGTGGCTGCTGCAACGGAGGACTAAACACACATGGGAATGCCCAATGCGCTGTGGCGTCGAGTGTGATAACATAACATAACATTACATAACATCCAGACTAGAAGGATCTTCTCCAGGCGCCCAGGCATCCAAGATGTGTGTGCCCCTGCTTGTCTACACTTGACATAAAAACCACAATTGAATACCTCGTACCAGCTAGGACACCTCTTTCTTTGTACATTTGATAGATTCTTTCAAACACCGTATGTACAAGATGTATTTTCATATCAAAGACAGTCATATTAAGTCTGTTTATCTGTACCTCTATCTGTAACTCTGTCTGTCTGTCTGTCTGTCTGTCTGTCTGTCTGTCTGTCTGTCTGTCTGTCTGTCTGTCTGTCTGTCTGTCTGTCTGTCTGTCTGTCTGTCTGTCTGTCTGTCTGTCTGTCTGAAGCAGTATAATGTCTCAGGTAATTTATTTGTACAGGATGTGGATCACTACTTGAAAGCACTTTCCGCCAAAGAAAACGAGGTTTCTAAAATTAGACTTAGGATATTAAAAATCAAGAACAAGATAAAGAAGAATACATTTTTACTCAAGTCAAAGGTAAACCCTTTTCACTTTTTGTACTTTTTTAAATCCATGGAAGCCTGTTACATCCTTTCCGAGCTGCTACCTGAAGGCTTGATCACCCCTAGGTGTCAAATCAACAGTGTTAATCCCAGATACCCCGTTCAACCCCAGAGTCCCCGTACGGGTTATGGGACAGCATTGTGGAGACGACAAGAATAGACCGACTGCCTCCCCAGCAAGCATGTCGTAGGAGTAGCCTAACTGGAGTGCGTCTGTGCGAGAGGACAGGCACCAGCAATCTGTTGGTTTCAAGGAGTGAACGCGAAGAAGAAAAAGAAGAACCTACAAAGAAGGTATAATTTAGGTACCCGTATCGAAAAAGTTAGTGCTTTTAACTCATAGCATCGTTGTTTGGACGCACACACATAACAACAAAAAGTAAATCCGCACCTTCAAACGTGCTAAAGTAAAAGACCTTTCCCACGCCTTCAGGCACATTGAGCATACAAGACAAGACCTATATTTTTTAGACCAATCCACACTTGGTGGTTGATGTTGTCAGCATCACGCCGGCTGCCTTTGCTTTCCACCTGGAAACCATTTAAGGCCCGGTCGACCTGGAAGTCAAGGTCATTTTTGGAAAAAAGAAATGTCTGGTACCGCCAGGACTCGAACCCACCACCTTCCGGTCAGCAGACGAGCGTCTAGCGGTCTCGTATATGTTGCCACCTCCACCGTTTGTATCCACCAGTCATCGGTAAGCCTACTGTGTGACCAACATCATACCTGCTGCCTTTACTTTCAATGACAATTTCCTTATGTGAAATTAAAGCTGGGGAAACCTCGGTTGGGGGTGGAGAAGGGGAGAGGGGGGGGGGGGGGGGGGGGGTTGGGGTCAGTTAAATTATGATTAGGATTCGAACATATGACCTCCACGCCTGGGTTCCAGGGACCTATTTTGAGGGGGAAAGAATATAGCTACAGCCTCTTGACATGTGTGTCGTTAAGGGAGCCTAATTTGTTGATTTTTTTTCTCCAAAGTCAGAGCGCGTCTGCCTGAGAGGCGAGGAACAAACAGTCTGCATAAAGTAAGCTGGATCTGTGAAACGGATGTGCATGTAAAATTCTAATTCTAGGACAAGACTAAAGTCCAGAAGTGGACGAACAACCAGAACTTTCCTCCAGGGTTTACAATATTGAACCTCGAAAAAGAGGAGGAAGAAGAAGAAGAACAAGAAAAGAATATCATAAAATGGGTTACCAATAAACGCTTGGTGAGTCGACTGGCATAGAAAAAGGTAACTTTTCCTGATTCATGCATTAAGTTAAAAAAAAAAAAATAAAATCCCTTTTTCACGCCTTTAGGCGCATCAAGCATATTAAAAAAAAAAAAAAAGTAAAGATCCCTTTTCACGCCTTTCGGCGCATCGGGCATATGGGCAGAGCGTCCCATATTTTTACAGACCATCAGCACTCTATGGGTAATGTGGTCAGCATTACGCCGGCTGTCTTTACTTTCCCAGGAAAGCCCATCGCGGTACCCATTTTACCCATACCACGATAAAAATCCGCGCAGCCAGCAGTGGGTTTCGATCGCGGTACGTTGGAATTACGAGTCGGACTCGCAACGCCTAAGCCACGGACGGCGCCGATTCATGTATGAATACTTAAAAATAAAAGCAATTGTGTCTGGTACAGTAGAAGCTATGCCCGTCTGTAATGTCTCTGTTGTGAAGAACAATTTGCTTTACCCTGGCAACATTTCTTGGAATTCCTATCACGATACAAAGAATTTTTGATAAGAGGAACAATTTTGTGTGTCCCCGGTGAGTTCTTCTTATCAGGTCCGCACTGTATTCTGCTTGCTTCTGATTTGGATATGCAGTGTCTGCATTAGCTCCACAAAGTGATTTTAAATAGCAGCCGCTCATTAAATACCAACAAGATAAGGTTTAGGTTTTTTGCTGGGTACAGGCACCCTCCCCACCGCCCCCGCCCCCGCCCCACCGCTTATGTTATTCTTGTGTCAGCCGCCTAAAATGGTGGGAATAAGAATATTGTTTTAATCAACAGTAATTCTTTCTGTATTTAATCGTGAAGTTATCTGCAAATTTAAACATTTTTCTTTTCTATTTAAAGGAAGAACTTGAAGAGGGCCTTCACCTACAGGATTTTGAGCAGCTGAAAATTGAGAATCAAACATACAATGAGAAAATTGAGGAAAGGAACGAGGTATGAACATGAATTAGTAAAACCCTCACTTTTGATTATCGACCATATCCTGGGGATTCAAGCCCTTTCTGCCCGCCTACTCTACAAAAAATAATTGTGTTATGAGTTAAATTATCTTCACAGCACTCCGGACACATCCATAGGCGCTCAGTTTCCCCTCTCAGCATATTCGTCAGCGTCGCGCAGATAATAGTGCCAGTGCTATGTTGGTTAACAAGACTTCATGTGCGTTCGGTGTGTTTCTCATGCTTGGCTGTACCGATCTTTACTCCAGATTCTTGTATTCTTAGCAGTGATGTGGACACGTTGCTTCCAAAATCCTCAAAACGTCCTATCTCTCTAAAGACAATGCCAGTGTCTGCGTGATCCATGGGGCGGCCTTTAATTATTGCAGCTCCTGCCAGTCTATGCAGTGGTGACTCTCTGGGCCAGTATTCTCTTCTTAATGGGATGAACAAGGGACAGTTTTGCAGGACATGTTCTGCAGTCTGCACACATAGCCCACAAGGACACACGGGTGAACTACCTAGACGAAGCCTGTGCATATGCTGGTTAAGTTTGTTATGTCCTGTCTTGAGACGTAGGACAATGACCTGCCCATGCCGGTCAAGTAAGTGGTAGTCATCTCTGGGCAGACTCTGTTCACTTCTAATAGCCTGGATGGCCCTTTTCTTCTCATAGTATGTTACTGCATTCTCTTCCTGGTCACATTCTGCCCCTTTCTTAGCAAGTTTATTTGCGGTTTCGTTTTCTGGTATACCACAGTGGGATGGCACCCACTGGAGTACAGTACACTTTTGGGCAGCCACCTTGCTAAGTTCAGATCTTAGGTGAGGGAGTTTGCCACTCTTGAGGACTTGAAGCACTGATAGCGTATCTGTGAATATGACCACTTGGTGGCAGTCAGAACTGGTGTTGTGTAACATTTTGCACTCTGTCTAGCGATTGTAGATGAGAATTAGCAGCTGTTGACCATGCTGTTGCACCAAACTCCAAGTGGGGTCTTATTGCTCCATTATAAACTTTCTTTAGGGTTTTTCAATTCGCTCCCCATCCTGTACCTGCCAGTTTTCTAAGTAGGCCTAGTCGTCTCCTGGCCTTCCCTTCTACATTTTCTATATGTTTGCACAATGTGAGCCTTTTATCAAATGTTACCCCAAGATAAGTGGGAAAGCTTTCTTCCTTTAGCAATGATGTTTCTAGGTGAATACTAGCAGCTTTGTCTCTGGGGGAAAGAGAGAAAAGCGTTGTGGATGTTTTGTCTGTGTTGATGGCAACATGCCACTTTTCTGCCCATCTCATTAAGAGATCTGCTGCTCGCTGCATTCTTATATTTGCCACTGTGGTGCGTTCATCGGTACACCAGAGTGCCAGATCATCTGCATACAGGGCAGCTTTTACTCCTGTAGGGAGGTCTTTCACCAAATCATTTATATAAACAAGAAAGAGAGTTGGAGAGATAACTCCTCCCTGCTCTGCTGGCCACCAAGACTGACTCTAGTTCTCCTGCTGTGTAAGAAGGATTGGATCTATTTTAGCATGTTTTCTTGGATTCCATTTCTCTTCAGTTTTGCAATGAGACTATCTTTCCAGACTTTATCAAAAGCTTGTTTGAAGTCAACCCATACCGCCAGGACCTTTTTATTCTCTTGGAAGGCATCCTCTACAGCTTGTGACAGGTAGGTGACTTGGTCTTCTATGCTGTGACATTTCCTAAATCCAGCCTGCTCTGGCACCAAAATCTGCTCAGATTCTAAGTGCCATTTCAGTCTTGAATTTACAATTCTTTCCAATGTCTTTCCTACACAGCTTGTGAGACTAATTGGGCGATAGCTGGAAGCCTGGGTCTTAATTTTTCCTTTTTTAAAAATGGGTATTGTGGTGGCTTCTTTCCATACTTGAGACACTAAACCTTTCTCCCAGCTGATGTTGAAAATTTCCAGCAGCTTTACTTTAGCAGATGAGCTCAGGTTGATCAGCATTTCGTTGCTGATTCATCTGGACCTGCAGACGTTTTTAAACTTAAGCTTGGAGATGGCATTTTGTAGTTCACCCATGGTAAATGGCTCCCTCATAGAGGCAGGAGTATCTGTCTGTCTCTTATTTGTTGGTATTTCTTTCCTTATTTCTCTCTGATGGTCCTCATTAAGGGTCAGGTTGCAAATCTGCAGCTTGTTTTCCTCCGAAGATTTTGTCACCATCACTTAGTGCGATTGTTTGTCTAGGAGAGAAACTCTCTTCATTGAGTGATCTGGTTATCTCCAGAGTTTCTTGCCATCTTTATCAAGGTTTAGAGCTGCTGTTTTATTTCTCCAGCTTTTCCGTTTTTCTTCAAGTTTAGTTCTCTGGAACACTGCTACAGCCTTTTTCCATTTGGTGTGGTTGTCAGGTAAAGGTTGGGATTCTGCATCCTTTCTAGCCTGATTTATTGTTTCCTGACATTCATGGAGTGTGCTGGACCAGTACGGTCTGTAGTTGTGTCGACAGCCTCTGGGGATTGCTTCTTTTGCAGCTTGAAGAATACTTCTATTGAAATCGTGCACTATAGCATTGATATCCCTATTTTGTACCTTGAGAGCAGACAACAGTGTGCTTGTCCTGTGTCTGTACAGGCCCCAGTTGGCTTTCTTGTAGTTCCATCTTGTGATGACTGGGCCTGTATTAACTGATACATTCTGGACAGTAAGAAAAATCGGGCGATGGTCACTGCTCCCCAGCTGGTCTCCGACCTCTCTACTTATCATTCCAGATATATCTGGGGTAGAGAAGGCAAGATCTGGGGTGACGTTGTCTGCCACCTTCTGGAGTAGAAGATATTAGTATCTGAAAGGTGCATTGATCAGGGTCAGAGAGTGGTCATCTTGCCATGTTTCCACCTCTTCACCCCTATTGTCGAGATGGTTATAGCCCCAGCTCTGTGAATGACTGTTGAAGTCTCCAACTGCAATAAAGTTGGTATCTGGTACCGGCACAGAGCTGAGGCTTAACGATTTGTCATTGGGACAGTAGTAGTTGAGGAGGTCTAATTCCAATTTGTCTGTCTTAAGCTGCAGGAGTTGGTACTCAGCTCCATCCATATGACATTTTCTCGCATGGATGGATACTATTTTTTACAAGGGTAAGTACTCCTCCTTTCTGCCTGCCTTGTCTATCAGATCTGCAGCACTCGTAGCCTCTCACTTTAAATATCTGATCTGCCTGCAAATGGGTCTCTTGGATGCAGCATACACTGACATGCTTTCCATTGAGGATGTTTTCCAGCTCCATCTTTCTGCTGTAGCCAGCCTGCTTACTGCTGACCCCCTGTGCATTATGACAAAAGGCAATTTGGGATCTTTTCTGTCTAACTGGTTTTGGTCAGTAGCTATCCTCAGCCGTCTCCTGACTCCACAAGACGATCTAGGAGGTCCTCCAGTAGCTGGGGGTGGATTCTGTCGACGCTCAGAACCCGTCACTGAACCTGCCTGGTGGAGCTCCACAGGGGGAGCACCAACATTAAATTTGTCTGACGGTGTAATCATATATATAGCGTAGTACTGTGGTTTTTGATCCGCCTTTTGGCCCAGTATTTCCGACTTCAGGATCTCTTGAGAGGGAGATTAGGCTCATCCCTACGCCTTTATCTCGTTTGTTGTCCCATCCAGTTTCCCGCTGGGGGTTGAGACCCCAACCTTCAACTAAATTGCTGGGAAGAACAGGGTCCACCACGTGAAGGTGAGGTAGGCTTGAACAAGAGAGGCTAATAGACATTGAGTCTTGTATTGCGCATCATTGCTCCATTAGGACCCCTGAGATGCCCTGTTTTTGGCCACCATAATATGTGCCAGTTATTCGGAGGATACCGCCGCCTTTCCTTCCCTCCAACGTTCCCGCCAGCGACGATGTACTTCAGTTTGCTCCTCCTTATGACACGACCGAAGAATGTTAATAACTGTCGCTTTCCTATGTGGGCAAACTTCGCGAGTCAGTTTTTTTGCAAGATACCACACACAAATTTACGTACTTAATTAAGATAAACGAGGCGTAGGCTCCTTGAGATAAATATAAATGTGTTGTGGTTGGGGGGGGGGGGGCGGATTTATATCAAATAAACCGAAAGTCCCATTATATTATATTAAATGGGAATTGCATTTGTTAATAAAAATTTTTTTTTAGGCCATTCAGGCAGATGCACGTTGAAGAAAGCCTTTAGTTAGTCGACTCTTACGACATGCTTGTTGGGGGAGGCAGTGGGTTTATTGTTGTCCCCTCGCCCCTCTGAATCCACACAGGGATGTTGTGGCAGTAACTTTATTTACTTTACACGCGGCATTGAACGACGAGAGACTCAATCGATCTTATGATCCAGCCGGATTGCCACCTAAATAGTTACCATACTAATCTGATGTTTAAAAAATATTATTAATTAATTAATCTGGATGACCGACTAGGAAGGCAGATGCCAAATAGCCCGTTCAACCTCCACACAAGTTATAACGAGATCACCCGTAACGACAATACCAGAGAGGTGTCACCTGCAGTCTTTTGCGGGTAAGGACGATGATTGATTTTATTTGTCTTGTTATATCTAATACAGCTCTCTCTCTGGCTCTTTCTCTCTCTATTTCTCTCTTTCCCTCTCTTTCCGGCGCGGCTGGTTGCCCCTAAAGTGTACTACACAAGGCACGAATTCCGCAGCCTCCCGCAGTGACTCCCAGTAATTTCCAAAACACGCAGTCGCGAAAAAAAGCATGAAGTCCAAAACAAAATTCAATATCTTCCGCTCGCAAGGAAAACTAAAGAACTGGTAATTTTTAAACATCGGTAGCCAATTGGGCAAATGATGTCAGACTTACCTTTTAATAGACCAATCAGCCTTCTTTATATCATGTTGTCAATGGGCCAAAGGGCGAAAGCTCATGCGCCGCTGGATCGATAACAACAACAACAATCATGTTGTCAACATCCTACTAGCATCATTTACTTCACAGGACACTGTTGGGTGCATATTTTAGCCTCGGTAAGCATGGATATATGGATGGTCAGTTTGGATATACAAAAGATTGTATAATATTTCATGGAAACAAAAACAGTCAAATAGAAGTTCTGGAGATATTACAAATGAAAAGAGAAATACTGAAAGAAATAAACAATTAAGGAGAGATTACAAATGAAAAGAGAATTACTGAAAGAAATAAACAATTCTGGAGAGATTACAAATGAAAAGAGAATTACTGAAAGAAATAAACAATTAAGGAGAGATTACAAATGAAAAGAGAATTACTGAAAGAAATAAACAATTAAGAAGAGATTACAAATGAAAAGAGAATTACTGAAAGAAATAAACAATTAAGGAGAGATTACAAATTAAAATAAAATTACTGAAAGAAATAAACAATTCTGGAGAGATTACAAATGAAAAGAGAATTACTGAAAGAAATAAACAATAGACAATTGAAATACTTCGGCCACATTTAAAGACATACACGCATTAAAAAAACCATACTGGGGGGAAAGGTAGAAGGCAAGAGAGCAAGAAATGGGCAACGATACAAGTGGAAATTGGGAAGAGGGGGAAGCATCAAGAGATGGACGAACAGCTGTCTGAGAGAGTGTACAACCAATACAAGATACAGAGAGTATTGGAGATCTATTGCAGCCAACTTTCACTGTCTCCACGGTAGTTGATTGATTGATTGTAAAGGTTCCCCGTGTGGGTTCTGGAAGCCCTACTATGGGAAAAACAAGAATAGACCCACTGCCTACCCAAAAGCATGTCGTAAGAGTCGACTAATTGGGAGCTACCTTTAAAGTCGGAGTGCATCTGCCTGAGAGGCAAGGAACCAATAGTCTGCATACAGATCTGTCAAACGGAGGCACACGCAACAGGTTCTGGAACAGGACTGCGTGCAGTCCATAAGTGGATGAACAACCAGAAATTTCCACTGGAGTTTACAGCCGGTGATTGCGAAGAAGAAGAAGATGGTAAAGATGCAGTATCCAACCCCCCCCCCCCCCCCCCACTCCCCCCCCCCAACCCACCCCCCTTTACTTGAAAAAAAAAAAAAAACAGGCCCTGGAACCCATCAGGGAACGCACAGTTCACTGACCTTTTGCTCGACATATCCGTCCAGGACATGCTTAAGCTGAAGAAGAAGATCTCTAGCACAGTGCAGATCATGTCCCATTGCAAGGAGAAGCTTCACTACGTGCAACAGGACAATCTCGACCAGGTCAATAATCTCAAAGACGTGGAAGCGTCTCTGGTTGAAGTAAGTTCCACAGTTATCCAACTTCATGTTTCATAAACATCCAACTTTATGATTCCTAAACTTCCAACACCATACTTCCTAAACATCCAACGTCATGCTTCCTGCGTATCTAACATCGTGATTTCTAAACATCCAACTTCCTGTTTCCTAATCATACAAGTTCATGCAAACCGGTATACAATATATTTGTTGTATATGTTAAAGATCCTTTTCACACAAGTGGTCCATCGCGGGCATATGCTGCTGGATCCATATTTTTAAAGACCAACCGGCTGTCGATGGGTGATGTCGTCATAATTATGTCTGCCACTTTAACTGACTTTACCATATTCGTGTTTCCCAGTACCCTGTTTACAAGGCTTGGCTCGATATGGGTACGAAGAGTCTTTTTTCCCCTCCAACCCCCACTCCTCTCTCCATGGCGAAGATTCGAACCTAAGACATTATAGCATACAAGCCAGCCGCCACGCAACCACGACAGCCTGTTTTCTGTGATGTTCCGTATAGCACACTAGAATCATTGTCTTTACTACCGAGTACATGCTATGTTTTGCAATAGTATTTGAAGTGATCTGTTGAAGACGATCTGTATGTCAACGGGGATAAGGGGGGACACAAAAATAAAACCCAAAAATTGGACCAGACTGACAGGTAGTGATATCAGTGGTAGCCACAGTGTCGTATGGCAGTTTCGTCACGCACCTTTACTTCCGGATTACTTTCCCATAATCTTCAGGTGCTCTGAGACAGGGGTGTTCTGAATGGTGGCTCTCGTTTGTCTAGAGGCCTAGCCCTCGGTTCAAACATCCATTCAGCCTATCTCAGGAATGAGGTGACACGAGCTCTGACTCCTCAGGGTTAATATAAACTCGTGGGTACTACTCGGCCAGTCGTCCTTATTACTAATTTTGCCCCCAGACTGGTGAACAACGTTAACTCAGTCAAATATATAAACAACAGTGAGTCTGACAAGACATGAATACGCTTATGAGAGTGACAAATGATTTTAACGTGACAACTTTTCAAGAATAAGAGACCTTGTGAATAAGAACCGTTATGTAATAATTTCACTGATATAAAGTAAGACAAAATGTGAAACACAGAGAACCAGAATGATGGTTCAAGTCTTTGAAGAATTGAGACTAGAGAATGGGTCTCCTATGTTGCCTCAGCCATTTCCTGACTCATCATTGTTCGGAGAGTAGAGACAGATTACGAGAGCGCATCTGGATTCTGGCTGCCAAAATGTTCCTTAGCTCTAACGACTTATCTGCTCCGGATCCTGCAGCTCCTCGTGTCGAATAGAGAGTCTCTATAACGTCTCGTTTCTCGGAGCGTCTCCGGACGACGATGATTCTCCCCAGGGATCGATCGAAAGACAACCAATCTTTCCTGGAGACGTGTTGACGTCGGCTTCACAAATAGCCTAGCAAAGCAGACAATGGCAGATCAAGTCGAGTTGGTTTCTCCCCAGTTGCCGGTTAGCTGGAGAGCTGAGTTACCCCATGGACACATGCTGGATCCTCAAACATCCCATGCAAACAAATGTTTTCAAAGAAAACGATTTACGATCAAGTGGCCGTAGTGCCAAGACACAACCGATCACTAGAACGGATTATGTAAAAGTGCCGTACAGATTCTAGTCTCTGACTACGACAGTTGGGGCGATGATATCTCTCAAGCACTCAGTGAAACGGTCAAACTATTAAGCTTGAACAGGTTTGGAAAACGTGTTCTATCATACATAATGACACCATACGCCAAGAAGGATCAATCCAGGAGCGATTTATATAGATTTCTCACAGCTGGACTCCCCAACAACAAACGAACTATATATCCACGGACGGACTATCCGAGATCATAGATACACCAATTAATATGGGTGTGTCCAGACTGTGGGCCAGTCTATTGTGGTAGGGGAGTTGATGCTGTTATGTGACACACAGAGGAAAATGTTATCCTTAGAGTTGTACAGGTCCTGAAGAAATGTAGATGTACTTTGTTCTCAAGTGACTGTCTCAGGATAAGGAATATATCAAATTTAGATAAAGAAATATTTGACTTGACTGGCCTCTGGCATAGACAAACAAACAAAACCGAACTGAATAAAATCTTATAAACAAGGGGTGAAGGGAGGGATGGGGTGTTGTTGACTTATAGATTGCATCCTTTCTTGGAAACTGAAGTACTCGGCGACAGTAAACACCAAATAGATTTCGTGAGAACAGTAACGGAACGAAGGGTTTTTAGTAGAAGATGCAGGAATAAAACAGCACGAAAATGGTCATAGAGAATCAAGGAAGCACTGTGCTTATACGTTTACGGGGCGGAAGTTTAGCAAACGACTGAATGTGTTTTGGGGGTACCGTGATTAGAGCGATGTTGTGCAAAGTGCCTGGTGCATGATGATGTTGATGACGATGATGATGATGGTTATGATGATGATGATGATGACGATGGGAGATGGAGCAAATTAAATTTTAGTGTGTTGCAAAGAACTCAGTACCCACAATCCCTCGGGGGGTGCCGCTACAATGAAAACATGCGGGGGGGGGGGGGGGGGAAAGCTCTCAGCCGCCATATATACCATAAGGAGCGGGATGGCTCAAGGGGCTGACCTCTTGTTTAACTGCACAGTAATAATGATTGATATGGCTATTATGTGCTGAATGACAAATACTAGTATTTTGGAAATAATATAAACAGGTTCTTAAAAAGAAATTCTTGAAAAAAAGGACATCTATACAATGTTCCAATGTTAGGGAGCCATTTAACTACTTCTATGTAAATTGTCTAGGGGTTGTGGATTGGAGGGACCAGCTCAGCCCCCACAAATTGTTTTTGTCTGGGGCCTGAGCCGCGAGGATCCGCCGCCCCTTGAATCACAGACCCAAGAAGGAAGTTAGCACATGTCCTTGGATAGTATGTGTACAACACTACAAGTGGTGTGCACTGTAGGGCATTTGTAGGGCAGGCAAGCGATAAAAGTACTGTTCAATGATGGCATTATCAGTGAGGTCTTGTGAAGAACATAAGGTGCTCATTGAGTTGATATCACAACTAGAGCCGTATTAACAGTATTATAGGACCCTGAGCAAACCAATGTGGCCCCAACGATAACCACTCACAAGAATGGAATGTGTATGGCTGATAATATTAAACATATATTTATTTTATTGGCACTTTAGCAACACTGGTGGTTGGGGAGGGGCATTATTTCGATTTTTGTTTTTACATTTCATTAATTTAAACGTCAAATAAATTTGTATTTATGGCAGGTCACTTTAGATCTCGTCACAATTATGAATGTTACTTTTACTTCCTTTAATATTTTCGTGTTTTCTGGTACCCTATTTGTAAGGCTTGGCTCAATATGGGAGCAAAGGTTGGTCTGTAAAAAATATATGAACCTAGCATCATATGCCCGCAATGGGCCACTGGCCTGAAATTTTATCTCTGCACCGTCTTCTTTTGTCTACCTCAAAGTCTACTCTCATTAAACGTGTTGTGTAGGCATTTTCGATATCTCTGTTATCTGCAATTCTCTCTATATTGTCTGTTTACCAGTTTTTCAAATCGGACAGTAAGGGACATGTCATTTGTTTTGCACTGGCACATGAACGGTGCAAGAATGGGGGAACCCGGTTTTAGCGAAGATGAACCCTCGACTAAGACTACGTCTCTCTCTCTCTCTCTCTCTCTCTCTCTCTCTCTCTCTCTCTCTCTCTCTCTCTTTCTTTCTTTCTTTCTTTCTCTCTCTCTCTCTCTCTGTGTGTGTCTCAACCATTGCAGTCTGTAAGCTCCCATGACAACAGTAGCTAGTGCTGATTTCAACAGATTGTGAATTTTGTTGTTGCCTCTGTTTTCTACGCTACAACACAGTTCCATAATTTTAACCGAAGTAGCGATCTCACGTAATCCCCGAATGCCAGTGACTTTGAAATAGAAGCTGACTTGTTCTCGAAAACGGCAGTTTCCGAAAAAACGCTTCGTGCACACAAAGTAAGTCCGCAGTTCCATGAAATCAACTCAGACTATAATTGTCATAGTTGATAATTACAGGAAGTGGCGCCCTCGGAGAAAATGTCAGTTCAACATGCACGCCCGCACACACACACACACACACACACACACACACACCCACACATAAATGCATACACAAACACATAAACAAACACACACAGACACATACACAAACACACCCACATAAACACACACACACACAAACACATACACAAACACACAAATACAAACACACACGAACACAAACATATACAAAAACACACACAAATACATTCACAAACACATACACAAACATACGCAAACACACACATTCAAGCTCAGACACAAAGACACACAAACAAACACACAAACACATACACAAACAAACACGCACAAAAATTTTAGGACGCAGCCACTTTAAACAGTTTCATGGGGTGTGTGGGGCTTAAGCGGCCACGTTTAAGTGCCTAATAATAATAATAATAATAATACTAGCGCGCTGAATGCAAACGAACATAACATACGCTAAAACCTCAGTAGGACGAACACGCTTAATAAAAACATTCGGTTAACATGAACAAGCCTGAGGTCCCAGCAGGGATACATTTGTACTATTAGTTCCTGGCTGGCTCAAAGGCTGTAAGCACACATTCATAAACAGTCCCTTGCCCGGCTCTCTAGCGTAGTTGGCTAAATCGGACTGCGCGGTGACCGGGTGACGAACTCCTTGTGGTCCGGGTTCACGCCCGGAGGTAGGCAGAAAAGCCACATTTCTCCCAGATTTACGGTATTTATCATGGCATCAAGGCCGAAGGGTTACGATATCCATGATACCGAGCCTAAGGGTTAACAACTCATGGTTTCTTGATACTAAAAAAAGAGAAAAAAAAATCAGTCACTTGGATTTCGTGTTAACAAGGTGTTCATGTATTTAAAATAAAATATAATAATGTAACTAAAAAACTTGCACACATTGAAAAAAAGGGATGGGGAGGGGG